TTAGTTGTGTGTGGTTGAGTACTGAGACAATAAACCTTCACAAAAACATTTCTTTGTTTGAAATAGGACGAAAGTATGTGTATTGAGATCTAACTCATGACTATCACCATCCAAGAGACTGCTACCCAATCTGTTTCACAGAGAATTACGAGTCTCGTATAATATCTCTGTCATAGATGACTGCCTTAACACGTGCTGTCACAGCACGCGGTGTGAATCATTGGCTGAATGGCGCGTGCATTGTTTACATAAGACATAACTGCTTCGGAGAGAATGCTGCATTTTAGTCAATTTAATACCCATTTACACTTAATCGGAAATAATTTTTACCTTTAAATACGTCAAACGCCTTTATTTATTTTTCCAATATATACAAAAAATGTTTTAGAATTTAATTTGTCGCAGGAAAAAAGTTAATATTTCTAGCTCATTAAGCCGCATCAATGTCATCCTTATCAGTGATTGTCGCGGCCAAGCAAATATTCACTGCGGATCAGTGTGACTGCTACCATCCAGATTGGCCGCATTGTTTGTCCGCTGCTTAGGCTAAGCAGAGATAAGGAATTTGATAGGTTGATGCTTTGGAACCCGATAACTTTGGTTCTAATTAAGTGAGAGTGATGAAACTTGGTGTATAGTTTCATTACATCAATATCAAGATTAAGAACGGTTGTGAAGATTTTCTGCTCAGGGTAAGCCGATCGATAAGCAATTTGATTGGTTGAGACTTTGGGACACGATAACTCTCCTTCTAATTGGGGTAAAATGTTTAAACTTGATGTAGATGTTTATTAGGCGAATTCCTTGATGGAGTTCGAAGCAATTTGTTTGGTTGATACTTTGGGACACGATAACTTTACCGTAGTTCTAATTAAGTGAGAGTGATGAAACTTGGTGTATAGTTTCATTACACCAATACCATGACTAAGTTTGATCATGAGTATTTACTGCTCAGGACAAGCAGAGTGATAAGCAATAGCAATTTGATTGTTCGAGACTTTGAAGCTAGATAACTCTAGATTCTTATTGTCATTGACAGGGAGTGGTGATACTTCGTGTATAGTTTCATTACACCATTACCATGCCAGAGTTCGATGATGAACATTATATTCTTAGGCTAAGTAGAGACTTATAACTGATTGGTCGAGACTTTGGAACACAATAACTTCCCTTCTAACTGAGGTGCAATGTTCAAACTTGATGTCGGTGTCTATTAGGAGAAATCATGCTCATTTTACACTAAGGAAAAGTAGAGATAACAATTTGATTGGTTGAGGATTTGGAACACGATAGCATTGGTTCTAATTGGGCGAGAGTGATGGGCATAGATTCAATATATCAATACCTTGACTAAGTACCAAGATGAGATAAGCAATTTGATTTGAAAGTAACAATTCTGCTTTTAATTAGGGTATAATGTTTAGATGTTCATTAGATGAATTTCTTGACTGGGTTTGATGAATAACATTTTCTGCTGAAGTTAAGCAGAGCTAAGCAATTTCATTGTCGATGCTATGGGACAAAATAACATCGATTCTCACTTATGGAGAGTGATGAAACTTGGTGTAGAGTTTCACTCCCAGGTACTTAAAAATCTTGACTGAGTTCAATCGTAAACATTTTCTGCTTAGACTAAGAATATATAATCAGTTTGATCGCTTGATACTTTGCAAAAAAGTAAATGCGCAATTAATTAATAATTAATATGTGTCACTGTTGGCTTATTTTTCTTTTTGCCGGAAGCCTGTATCATTACAAGCCCGGGACTGTACAGTGCAGGGGACGCGTACGCCCCCCTCCCCTCTCCCTGCCCAAATCACTTGATTTGTTGTTTATTTCTGTCAAGGTCTATAGTTTTGTCTTGTAGGCTTTGTTTGGCGTATAGTGCGGTCCCCTGCACTTACTATTAGAATAAATGAAAGGCATTGAAACAATTGAGTAACTTGAGTTAGTGCCACAGGAAGCGCTACTTGAGTTTGAAGCCTTCATGCCCATCCCCAGGACAAACACAATACAATTCGGTCCTTACTATTGCGGTGTTTTTGCGGAAAAATAAGATTGTAATCTAAACAAATAAAAATTTCATTAAAATTGGAACAATAAAATACGATTGCCCTTGTGTAAGGTGTTTCAGAATCAAGAAGAGTTGTTTTCGCCATAAATAACCGGCGGTTGCCAGGAAATAGACACCCAGATTTTGCAAGAGATGGATAGTGAACAAGCTAAACAAAAACGCGATTTTTTGTACAATCAGGGGCCATAATCCAGTTACGTTATGTTTGAATATCGAAATGAACCAAGATCTCTGTGATATAAACATACTTTTAAAGTTTCATCAAAATTGAATACATATTGTGACTTCTAGAGGGTCCACAAGCTAAAACGTTATTTTTTCAAACAATGCGTGATTATCGGAAGAAATCAATGTCTTTGTGATATAAATATACTTTTCAAGTTTCATCAAAATCGAATAAAAATTGTGACTTCTAGGTCGTCCACAACCTTGGTATTACACACTTTTAGACTATTTGCGTACAATAATAATAATAATAATGTATTTATATAGCGCCTATTATCCAGTAAACTGCTCAATGGCACTGAGTTGTCTGTCACAGGAAATAATGTTATATTAAAGTTAAGAGATGAGTCTTTAGTCTCTTTTTGAATTCTGCGATAGTTCCTCCTTCTTTCACATGTTGGGGTAGCTTGTTCCACAGGACTGGTGCTGCTACAGAGAAGGCCCTATCATCACACGATGCGAGATTGGCTCTTAGAATATCAAGTTGTTGTATATTTGACCTGGTGTTCTTTGATGGGATTTTATTTGAATTAGGCCCTGGAGATAGCTTAGAGCTATGGCATGAAGACACTTGTACGTCAACAGTAAAATCTTAAATTCTACACGTTTCCTCACAGGTAGCTAGCGAAGCTCCCTAAGAATTGGTGAAATATGATCATGAAGTTTGGTTTTAGTAATAATTCTTGCGACTGTGTTTGTGTTTTGAATCTTCTGTAGACGATTTAATAAAGTTGTTAGGAGACGGTAAAGTAGAGAGTTACAATAGTCCAGGCGAGAAGTTATGGAGGCATTGACAAGAGTTTTGGTTGAATCCACATCAAGATATTTTCGAATTTTACTTATCTGGCGCAGCTGACGGAAACAGTATTTGATTACAGAGGAAATGTGTTTATTAACGTTCATGGATGAATCGAAGATAACACCTAGATTTCTGGCTAATTCGACAACATGAATTACACAATCTCCAATGCAGTTTTCCATTGGGCCTCTGAGATACAACTGGGTATCATCAGCAAAGAGGTGAATATTCGCATCACATTCCCTGATAACATGTAAATTGTGAAAAGAACTGGGCCGAGGACTGATCCTTGGGGAACCCCATACTGTAGTACTGTTGATTGTTATTTTGCACCCCCAACACACACTAATTGCGATCTGCATGTTAAGTAGGATCTGATAAGCTCCAGTGACGAATCAGGTAGCTTTATTCTTTGCTTTAAGAGCTGCACGAGACGTTGGTGATCTATGGTGTCTAATGCGGCTGATAAGTCTAATAATACGAATAGAATAACATGTTTTTTGTCCATGGCTCAAAGAATATCATCGTGAACCCTTCTTAGGGCCGTCTCTGTACTATAAAGATTTCTGTAAGCAAACTGGTATGTTTCTAGTAGATTATGTTGATTCACGTGGTTTTTCAGTTGATCCTCAATGATTTTTTTCAATAATTTAGGAATAGTATATCTTGGTCAACGTTCGTTTTTTTGAGGATTGATTTCACATAAGCTGTCTTAAATACTTCGGGAAATTCTTCTAAGCTGTTTATTGTATCATTGATAAGGCCAAGGAGATGTGTTGTACTGGCACAGGAAACTTTCTTGAAAAGCCATGTAGGTAATACATCCAATTTACATGATTTTGCTGGAGCTTTCTGGATTAACTTCGTGAGGTAGTCTGTGGATATCTCTTTTATTTCGAACGATGGAATAGAACCATTCTGCTGGTCATTGTGGTCAATAAAATCGTTTTCAATTTGAAAGCCCTGTCTTAATTTTTCAATCTTCTATGTAAAGTATCTGGCAAAGATATCGGGGAGTTGGTTCGTTTTATAGCATGATGGCATAGCGTCTGAAAACGAATTTTTAGTGAGACTTATGCAGATGTTGAATAATACTTTACTACCGACCTTCTCTTTTAAAACTTGGGTTTTAGCATACGCGATAGCATTGTTATACTGGTTTGGTTTTTCCTTGAAGATTTGGTGATGAACTTCTAGCCCGTGATCTACATTCATGTTTCAATTGTTGAAGTGAATCATCAAACCACGTGGTATCAGGCTGGATAACAACGGGCCTCGTCTTAAGTGGAGCATGTTTATCTAAAATAAAATAACTTGCAAAGACTGAATTTGCACCAGCGATCGTTAAGTGACTGGATTTTGTCTGGCAGTTTCGGCCAGGTTTTTACGAAATTCGAACTCAATCAAAATCGAATAAAAATTGTGATCCACCACCTTGATATGACATACTTTTACACTATTTGCGTTGGGGGAGGGGCCATTTTGTCCAAAAGTTTCGGTCCGAATTTCAAGAAATTCGAACTCAACCCTCATTATGGTGATATATTTAAACGTTTTTTTTTTAAATCGGATAAAAATTGTGACCTCTAGAGGGACCAGAAACGCGACTTTTCGTACAATCAGGGATCATAATCCAGGGAGTGACGGTCCGATATGCGCAACCGAGATCTTTGGGTTATAAACATACTTTTCAGCTTTCATCAAAATCGGATAAAATTTGTGACATCTAGGATGTCCACAAGCTAAAACGTAATTCTTCGTACAATCAGGAATCATAATCCATGAAGTTACGGTCCGATACATGCCAAATTTCGGATAAAAATTGTGTCCTGTAGAGAGTGCCCACAGACAAAATGTGGGCGTATAAAAATTGTTTAAAGACGCTTCTCTTTTTATTTTCAGATGGGTTGCTATTCTTTATCCACTAAAAGCCAAATATTTGTGTACATATTCTCATGCTCGTTTGGTTCTATTCATTGTGTGGGCATTTTCTTTTATTACGGCGATCCCTGTTCTAATTGGACAAGTAAGTAACTTATATAAATTTGTGTATTGTCATAAAAAAAATCATCCGTGGTGACAAGGGGGTTGGGTGGTTACGTGGTGCAACTCGTGTGCAGTGGTTTATATGATTTATTGTTTATACAAGTCTTGTGCTGGATCCCGATCGAGTTTGTACTTGACAAGGGGTAGGTTCGTGGGTTTTCTCCGGATATTCTGATTTCATCATACTTCCCAAGACAACTTCCTGCGCGAAAGCGAAATATTCAAGTAAACAATATAAGCATCCATTATATTAGTCCCGAAATGACGTGATAAGTGTCGTGTGGACGCTTATCTCTCATTATAACATAATACGAACACGGCTTTCGTATTATACGTTAGCATTTATATTCAGATTATCTCTTTACTGGTCAAATTATTTTTGTTTCAGAAACATGTGTTGGTTGGTGTAAAGATAAAGGCATATTGGTGTGTTAAGAACTGGCCTTCATCTAAAATTGAGATAGTATTTGAAGTATATATGTTAGTGTTGATGTTTGTAATACCTATGACAGTGATGATTGTAGCTTATGCTGGCATATGTAAAGAATTATTAGCATTATCATCAACAAGAGCTAATCTTAGAGTATCTAGGTAAGAAATGAAAAGTAAATATAATGTTTGCTCAGAGACGAGAAAATGCGAAGTAGTGCCAGGACATCACTTATATCTTCATGATTTATAGCATTAAAGATTTATTTCGTCAACAGTCTCAGGCCTGATAATATATATACATGTACTAATGACCAACGATTGGGAAACATATCCAAATTACCGGGAACATATATTTCTTATCAAAAACAGCACATTTAAACGCAGTCGCCATTATTTAGTGCTCGCACTTGTCTGACGACGAATGTCTGCCCGCTCGCGTTACCTGGCGATGAGTAATGTTCACGCTAAAATACCAACGACTGGCTCAGTTGTTGACGCTCAGTGATAATGAACCACTCTCAGTCAATAATTCTATACTTTAATTGTCATTTCAATTTCACAGTGCATATGTCTTGACGAGAAACTTAAGACCATTATAACTTCTCCTGATTGTACACCCTGTGAATTAGTTCTAAATTTATTTGAAACGTGGTCTCGTCATGGTGTATAAAAGCGCTGACATTATATGGAGTTTGCACTTTCATAAAACGTATTCGAGTGGTATTTTCAAGTCGCGATTCGAACGCAGCACCTGAACTTATGGTAAACATCTTTGTAGATTCTAGCGATTTCTATATAGAGAAAGTAAATGAAGATATAAGTGATGTTATCTTAACGGTAGGATATTGGACATATTAATCTTCATATTTCACTGTAGAAATATCAACTGTCGGACATGGCATAAATCAATTTCACTGAAACCTTTTGACCGGCTATGATATGGAAGAAGATATTGTATTCAACTGTCGATGCTTAATTTTATTTCATGCCGTTTAAGGAAATTAGTTTGGTTGAATCGTAGGTCAAGGCGAAAAGCTTTTTGTTTCTCCCAGGATTTTCAGTATAAACAAAACCCTCTTTAGCTTTGTCGACCAAATAGGTATAGTTTCTAATTAACTTATTGTATTGGAAATGATAGTCATATAATCCTCGTAGGAGTTGTTGAATATATTGCTCAACATGCTTAACAGTACATTACGTGCTATGTAGATCTGGTTTTATATTGATTTAATAACACAAACTAACTATAAATCTGTGAAAATCTCAATGTATTACACCAGGTAACTTGATTTGTAAAAAACAAATCGGAATTTACTTTACAAAGTACATGTAGTTTTATTTTTGAAAAAACAAATCGAATTTAGATGTGAAATTAAATTATTATTCTGAAATTCAAACAGCAGCATCTTTTATTTTGTCCTATCACGACTTGTGTCCGCTTTGGCATGACAGTTTTCACAGAAATGGAATGTCATTACCTATCTTTCCTTTTTTATGTTGTATGTCTCTGCGGGTAGCCATAAATAGGTCGACATAGTGAAATTATTAAATAAAGTTATAATCTGTATTTTTAAAATGACACGAACTGTTCCATACAAGAATACAAGTATTTTAAAACAATATTTTAAACATGGTGACCTTGAAGTGTTTCAAGAATAATTGTGTATTTTGGACAAATTTCAATAGGGTCAAGGTACATTTTCTTACAAATTAGACCAACTGTTCATTACTCTTTACTTGTCTTTAAAAGCAATAACCATTGATTAAGACTAATGGGGTACTGTTGGCCGATATTTGTAGGGGAAATGACCACTGCATATTTTCCAATATAAAATGACCACTCAATAATGATTGCGGCAAAGCCTGTTAGGCCAAATTAGAATGTGTAATTGAAGTTTGGTATGTCATTGGCTCCCAGTCAACCCTTAAGAAATTGATATATTAATTTGGAGTTTTCTAGCTCTAAGATAGTAGTATAGATAACATCTACATTGACAGTTAATAGGAAAACGAGAGAAATAACCAACAAACCAAAGGATAAGACAGTGAGATCGAGTGAAATATATTACTCTTATTAATTATAAGGTTTTAATTCAGTTGCTGATGCTCAATTATTTAATAATATCTCCACTTTTCTACGATACCAAAGAAATAGGAATGAAGTATCCGCTAACAACTACAAAAAGATGATTTGAATGTGAAATGAGTAAATGTCTTTCGTCATGTGTCAACTCATTTATTATTAAACAGCACTTATCCACACACAACCAGATTATAAATTGTTCAGATATTTAATTATACTGACAATAATGGCTGAATAATGACATATTATTAACACAAGTATGGTTAAGCTGTTAGTTGACCTACTGACCCAATTTTTTGGGCGTTCACTTGATTCTGATTTAAATATGGTTTATCCCAATGTAGGACCAAATCAGCTTACGCATTCAAAAGAGAGTAAATGAAATGGATTTTAACTTCCACTCGACAATTGGTCATTTTGGAATCCTTCAGTTAAAAATTGACAGTAGGGGTTGGGTACCCGAAGAAAACTCAGGGAACATTATAAATTGTGACATACATATTATTATCCAGAATCGAATCCTTAATAATAAGCCACCCCTTCCCTAAAACATATTCAAACTAATTTATCTAACACATGTTTACATTCAAATCCCTCTCAAACATTTTAATGACAAGATACCTTTTTAAAGAAACATTGTTTGTCACGTGACTTAATTTAGGGAGAATCATAGAGGTGTATATTGACTAGAGTGTATTGTGGTCACGTGATCCCCATTGACGTAACGTTAACGCCGTGGGCCGTCACTGGAGACTGGCCGCCATGTTTCAACCGGGAAAGAATCACGGAAGTGCCCGGATAAACGCTATGTAAAGAAAGGGAAATAGACTGACGGAGGGCGGACAAGCCCATTAAAAAAGCAGTTCTAATTCAACAATATCAACCATAAAAATGATGATTGAAAGGTCTAACCTCACTGTCCTAAAAACAAAATCGTTTTGGTCAACTGGCATATTTTTGGGGCTTTATTATTAAGAATACCTCTTATCATAATCATCATCATGATGAATACCGTGGCATGGTCACCATCCATGGTGTAAATTGTAATGCAGAACTGACGAAATCATGTTTATTTTATTAATTGAGCACAGTGAACGTCCTCGAATGTCCCGATCTATAAAGTGTTCAGCAAAATTTTGAACATTGCTCCTCGGTAGTTCACATAAAACTTTATTTTGGATAGATCTAAATAATTTGTTCAGTTGGACGATTTGAAATGAAAGGACTGCTTGATTGACAGATAACTAAACTATCTATATCATGTAAAGATATAAAATCGATTTTAAAAATAATCTATGACTTCTATCATTTACCAGTAGAATAATATCTGGTGCCGATTGGAAATATTTTTTTTTAAAAAAAGGAAAATATAAACACGCCTAGCAAGGCCTTAGTAGGCCTATATGATTTTAAATTTCCATGATCTGGTGTCTGATTTTTCTTTGTTGAAAAATACGGCGGTATATTAAATTTTACAAAAAAAAAAGACTAACCTAATCATACTTAATAAGATTTTCGTAGTAGCAGCGATTAAAAAAAAATATCATTATCATCTGGCCTATTTTTTTTTTTTTTTTACAAAATTTGACTGGGAATGAAGTTATCAAGATTACTTATTATTATTAACCATTTTTTTTTGTAACTAGTTCGGGGGTTTTATACGGGTTTTCAGAAGAAGAAAAAAAAAGAAACATAAATATTGCAAGAAACTTTCACTTTATTCTGTACATCTGTGCAATGAATGTCGGCCTAATTAATAAAATCCGAGGGAGTAAAACTAACCGATAGTAAAGCAACTACTGGCCAGTGAGTGCATGTCTGTGACTAAACACTCCACTCGGCAAACCTCAACAGATTCCAGTACCCTACATCTAATCTCGGCTGTATGACAAAGTCCGCCATTAGAACTACTTTCAAGTTCCCGGATTACAATGGCGTTGTCCATGACGACCAATGACGTCATTGATGACGACGTATTTGAAGAATGTTTTATCTTACAAAATTTTCAAAGTTTGAAGCTGTTTTTCTTTCAAGTTTATCCGATTTTCTTTTGACAAGGACAAATTTGCACTGAAAATTCTACACACTCTTCGAACGACGCAATTTTAAGAACTTCTTTCTAAACGCGGGCAAGTTTCCCTTATAAGTAAACCGGTGCCGCATCGCAAATGTATAGGCGTAGGTACATATCACTTAATGTCATACAGCCGAGGCTAGATGTAGGGTACCGGAATCTGCCGAGGTTTGCCGAGTTGTAAACACTCCACTCCAATCAGTAGACTTACTCCCCGCGATATTTTTCGTACATTGCAAAATGTGTGTATATATATAATATGCGCAATTTCCATAATAATTAAATATACATTAATTTGGAAGTTCGCTAAACGCACGGACGTTGTAATTATTACATAATAAAAGTATCAGTACTAATAATAGAGACCCGCCCGGTTTCCGGTCTCAAACTTCCAGTGTTCGACGTCTTCTCGCCGTGTTTATTAAATTATTTTACACAATTATCATGATTATACTATATCTATTAGATCACTATTTCACTTATAATATATCTTACGTACTTAAGAAATGATAATCCACTCCCTTTTCGCCTGACATTGTATTAACCAAAACAACAACAACTCTCCGGCATGTTGATATATGCCAACGTAGGCTAAATCTTCCCGGTTGTAAAATGGCTGCCGACCGCCATAGTCGGCACGCGATCACGTGACCACCATGCACTCTAGTCAATATATACACCTCCATGGGGAGAATACATTCCTGCCTGTATTTGTCGTTAAGCGTTGTTCAATTACCACAAATATCGAAACCTAAGTAAATTCTTGCACTTTCTTTTTTAGTCGTTCAATCTCGGAGTCTACTGGACGTTTAATTCTCTCGGTGTTCACACAACCGTTAGCCATTAGATCAACACATAAGATAGGCTGTCAGTTAGTGACATCCGTACAAATTTGTCCTGTGGGCGCCCCATGGGTGTTGTCCAGGGGCTTCAGTATTTTTCTCGTAAAATTGTGTCTCTACTTTCTATATTAATATGCCATACTTTCATTGGAAATAACTAGTAAATATATACATTCTTGGGAATATATCTTTAAAGCAGACACGATAGGCCACTGACCAATTCCTTCATAACTATCGAATACCAGGTTATTGAAAGGATCACGATAAACCGACCTTTCAATAACTACCTTATAACACTGGCGGTTCTTGTATATGTAATGCTGACAAGCAACGTCTCAGTAAAATTCTATCTTATATTCTATATACACCAAGATAAACACTACTGAACCAAATTGAAACACGCAAACTTACGATCTAACAAGAAAGAAAGAACAAGATATAGATACGTGACAGTTATAGCCCACGAGAATCATTCTCCAAATGAAGCAGTCTTATTACTTTTCAGATTTATTCATTGTTTTAATAGACTTTATCTAAAGAACTGTTAGGTCGAAAGATCATACACGCAATTCAACTCATACTCTTAGCACATTCTCAGTGAAATCAACAAGTCGGTTCCTTATTTAAATAATCTTTAGAGTATTTGGTGTTAATAATAATACTATTTCGAATCACAATGTCTACATTTGCTGCGTATATTTTCCTAAATTGTTCACGTTCCTTCACATTGCATTTTTTCAAATATATGTTTGATACGCACGTTCTTTGATTTATTTCGATACACTTAACAGAACCAGCTAGCAAAATTGTATAATTGACTTTCATGGGAATTCCAATGCTTTGTTGAAAAAAAGAAATATTGTCCGTCTGCAAAATTATATTGTTTCTGTGATATTTGAGCGTATTGGTTAACAGAGACTTTGTTGAACATCCAGTCAATGATCAATTCTTTTGTCTTGGGAGACTTTAACAAATCGTGGAACATAAAATTAGCCTTTAAGAGAATAGTAAATTATTTATAAGGAAGTAGATGAATACTTAATTTTTTGCCGCATTGTCATCACCGTTTGTCAAAATTAATTATGATTTTCATAGAGCGGGGGGTGGGGGGGGGGCTGAGAAAACATTTGAGGTTAAGTGGGCGACCGTAATCCATATTGCGCACAAGTCAGTGATCGACTCCACGCCGCTTGACTTAATAACGGAGCAGTCTCTCCATACCCCCCCCCCCCCCGCCCTCGCCACCAAAAACACAATACCACCAGAGGATAAAGGTATTAAGGTAATAGGCAGTTGGTCAGATGTAGCATCGTACATCCGCGGGTATTATTTCAAAACTAAATGCTTGCTGAAAGCATAGACATGGGCCCAACCTATTCTAGCGGGATTACGTTGACTTGCGATTCGGCGATTAGCTATGTCTAGTACTATGTATAATATTAATTAGATAGGTTTGTATTATACTCATCAAGTGCGGAAGTGCCCATTCTCTGCATTCTGTGCATCCCGAAGCGACATCCTGCATACGTCACTCCAATAACAGGCAATGTGAAATGAAATGAATTGAGGTTTGACGTCCTTTTTTCTGCACCGATTGGTCTAATGAAGACGGCCGTACGACATAATATGAGGGAAATTTGCTGTTTAAGTTCTCAGGATAATCAGTTTTCTTTGTGAAGGAACTCGTAATGAAACTGTTAGTAATACGATTGGAATAGGTGTTACAGTTTTTAGATCTACGGCTAGAAATAGCATGAATCATGACTGTGTGTCATTGAGCTTCAGACTAATAATAAAAACAGTGACTGTTAAATGTGTCATTGAGGGTTACAGTACGGAATTTTATTTTATTCAAGTATCGGTATGGTTAGATTCACTCTTAATTAGGGTGCCCCGCCATAAATAAATATTTGCAAATAGCTCGACAATTACACCACAATATTTATATATATACCAATCCTTAAATCTGTTTGGCACATTAATTATAGTCACTAATTAAACGGCCATGTTGTACTTAATAAGCTATGACCATTTAACCATCGATGAAAAATGGTTTCGAATGTCGTCCATAATTTCCAGGCGCTTTTGAGCAAAAAATAGGTTACGTGCCCTTGTTTTGAAATAAGTCTCGCTTAAAAAGTCTACTGAACATTCTCCGTCTGATTGACAGGCCGGGATAATCAAGACTACATTTTTAAGAAACATGACAGAAAGCTGGAACAAGAAATTGAATTTCGAAAAACGCACGGTGGGCAATTCAAGAAATGTTTTAAGAACCTTATACAGGTTTAATGAAACTACTGCTAGTATCATGTTCCTGCATGTCTAACCCGAGTTTTTCAGAGATATTATTTGTACTAAACCAAAAGATGCCGCTCCTAACGGTATATTGTTAATGATAAAGCAATTTAAATAATAAAACGAACGTAATTTCTAAAGCTGCTGTAATAACCAAAAAGCTAAATATTACTGCTATTCAGAATCGTCAACAATAGATTTTTTACGGCTGTAATAGTTGATAGATGTGTTGAGAATTTCACGTGTGATGGCTATTTATAGACTCAAAGAGAGTGCGTGACTAGGCAAAAGTCACTTCGGAGACAAGCCACTGAAGTGTGCACATTCACCGTGTCGAGTACCACTTTTAGTAGGAAAAATTTTCGGCACTTGGGGCACCCTATCTTAATTGGATTTGTGCAAAATTCATTAAAGTTCTATCCTATTCCATTGTTCTTATTTACAATTAGTTGTTTTGTCTTTACAGCGGAAAACTCGTTCAGCAGCAAACTAGCAGCGGTAACAATGGAAATCAGAGAACAGTAGTTCCTGTTTATAATCAGCCAGGTATCATCTATACAAAGACAAAGCCAAAGAGAACCAAAACCGATGACGTCGATGATAAAACAATTAAGGTATTTAATTAGAAAACCCCAAATATGGCTATTGCTCTGCCCTGAATATTAGCTTCCCTTCAAGGAGATTTATTTTCTAGTCCTAATATGATTTTGCTATTAATATGACTTTTATCTCAAGAATTAAGATTACCGGTGAAAGTGTATACGTTTGATTATACCTAATCCCACTCGGCCATTGCTTCAGGAAAGTGGGGACGGCGGTTATTCAATTGGGTTTTGTCATTGTGCTTTCATCACATTTTATGCAACAACGTAATGTCTAGAGATGCCTTTTCAGTCATTCAAGTCGATTTGAAAAACAACGCCATTTTGACAATTTAATAATTCGTGCATATTCATTTAGATTACTGAAAGGCAAAAATTTACCTCTAGCGAATTCATTTTGATAAGATAGAAAGAGAATGTATTTTAATATGACTTAGTATAAATTTAAACCTTCTTTGAAACGCAATACATTTCCTTCTTGTGAATGGGTTTAAACAAACTATGTCTTCATTATCATGGTGAGCCACTGTGACTTATTTTTTTTAAAGAACTTGGAATATATCTTCACTATCACGGCCACTTCATAAGTTCTAGCATGTATTTTTATTTGGCCTGCTACATTTTGATTTTGTTTATTGTTTTAAACCAACCAAAAGTTTACTTTTTGCGAATTGATTTTGATAGAACTAGAAACGTCACAGTCACTCGCATACGTTGGATGATCGGTCAAAGCTAATGGGACATATACTGCGGCGAAAGAGAGTATATACGGATCACAATGATCTGATGTCTTGACATCGCCGTCAAATTCATAAGGCACATGTTATATAAAGGCAATAAAATAATTCAACTGAAACGGACGATTTACACGAAGAGAGAAAAATAGTTGGACAATTTTATTCTACAAAATCATAAACCATATCACTTCTGAATACTTATTTCAGCTGATACCACTTAATATAAATTCTAATCGCCTACGAAACTGAAGCAACATCCCAACATATTTCTGTAGAACTTCTTTATTTTCTTTCTTCTATACCATTTACAATTAGAGGATGGAATATACTTGATCTTTATCCTCTTTTAAATCTAAAGTCGGCTCATCATACTACTCTGGCAGCAGGAAAAATCAAATTCACCATTCTCGCCTTCGACTCTCTTGCAGTGATTTAAACGGACATCGTTTTCTCAGACATATTTCTGACAGCCCTACATGCGATTGTGGTCACGCCTTTGAAGACTCTGAACATTTTCTTTTAATTTGCCCCTTACATTCAGATATACGATCTGCGACAATATCAAAACTCCCAAAACTTTATCAAAATTTTCAAAATTTATTATTCGGAACTGAAGACGGAAACAATTCTGAAGAAATTGTTTCTGCAGTATATAACTTACTCGACATCTCCCAAAGATTTTGAAAATTCCGTATGAAAATGATGAAAATGTATGAAATATTATAAATATTCTGATTGTGGTTTGTACATAGTCTATATAGCCATCTTATAATTTAATCGTTCTTCTACTTTACTTTACAATATATATATATTTATGTTTGTATTTTTATGGAGAGGGGGTCTATAGGCTTCTGTCTGTTCTCCAATCCAGTTTCTGTCAATAAATATTGTCTATAAAAAAAAATTGTTGGACATGGATATGGGTAAAGTTTCAAGTTAAAGATTACGCCACATGGGCACACCCGAGAACTTCTCTCAGAAGATAGTATTCCCATTTATGTAGGTAACCACCTTGCTCTGACCATGCTCAGATTTATAATGGCACAATTTCCCGAGGGGCGTTGATTTAACCCTATTATACCTTCCTCTGCGGTCGCAACTTACAAGATTCCGAACACTATTTGCTCTTAATTCAGATTCAAGAAAATAGATCATCCAATAGTATTGTAAAATACATAAAAAAATTGAAACCATTAACAATATAATCGTACAAGAAGTATCAAGATAAATAAAATAAACATCAGATAAACAGCTAAAACAAATAGTAAATAAGTAAATCGAAAAATCTACGCGATAATACTCCCGTCAGACCGGGATGGGGTCCTTACTGCGCTGCTACGGCGACGGGGGAAAACGGTCTCAGAGCGCGTCAAGATCACCATAAGCGTGGTAAAAGCGTGGTGGAAACGCCAGATATCTTGCTGTGGTCTCCATGGCCGCAAATTTAATGATCGCGGAGTCACGGCGTTTGTTTTGAGCGTGATCAAAGCAAACGCCAAGGTGCTGCGATCTGGCCCTAAAAGCTGTGAGAACGCGACTTTTTTTAAGTTTGTAATTTTTTGGGACATTTTCTCGCGTTGTGTTTACGTTTGCCGGCAACCTTGTGTATCTTCTGGTTGCCGTATGTTGGAAGCAGCACAGTAGAGACGCCACCTCGATCTGACTGGGGAATAAACAACAGGTGCGTGATATGCGAGCCGCAAAATTTTGATTCTTTGCAATTTGACGAGGCGATCCACGGCATTAATTAAAGATTAAACCCCACTAGACACCCCGTAGCCTGCTCTAGTTACAGATTTCGCTGGCTGGACATCCGTCGTGTTATACTCTTGTTAATATCCCCGTCAGACCGGGGTGGCGTCCAAATTGCGCTGCTACGGCGATGGAAATTGGTTTTAGAGCGCGTCAAGATAGCCATAAGCGTCGTAGAAACACCAGCTATCGTGCAGTGGTCTCCAATGATCGCCGAGTCACGGCGTTTGTTTTGAGCATGTTCAAAACAAACGCCAAGGTTCTGCGATCTGAACTGGAAAACTATATGAGAATGCGACTTTTTTTCAAGTTTGTAATTTTTTGGGACATTTTCTTGTGTTGTGTTCAAGTTAAAAAGATTCCGACCGCTTGACAGTCCGTGGACTGCTCTAGTCAAGACTGGAGTAAGACATGGGCTTGGAGAGCTGCAGTCGAACAGCCACTCGGAGGACCCCCGAGAGATTAAACAGACATTATATAAACCTGCCTATTGGAGGTTTTTCTTTGGGCGTTAAATTTTATATAAATTATTAATTAGACATTTATTAACATGACAAGATCATAATCAACTATCGATACCATCGTATGGCCCCGATTTTAAATAGATTATAACGATTCGACCATTTAATGATTTAACTCAAAAATGGAGAAGCTAGGATAAGACTCGAATGACTGAGACGGTGGTTACGATCAATGCACATATCTTGTTAACAAGATCATAATTAACTCTTGATGCCATCTTATGGCCCCAATTTATAAATAGATTATAACGCTTGGGCTATTTTATGATTTAACTTAAAATGGAGAAACCAGGCTAAGACTCGAATGACCAGTACGGTTGGTACGATCAATGCACATATCTTGTCAAAACTTCAATTATTGATAACTTTGCTCAAAATAAAGTCATTTGAATGAAATTTTCAATATATTCATTTTGCATTACCTTTTTGTGAAACATTATAGCGAAAACGGCCTACTCTTCATCTAAATCTTACATAATGTCCCTTGAAGTACAAAGTTATTTCATTTGTGAAGGCTGAATAAAAGTATTTTTGGAGAAATCTGCATTACAGTAATTACGAGAAACCTTCTTATTTTTAAAAAAATATTACTGAAGGCCTCAAAATCTTAATTCGACTCAGACTCTTAGTTATAAGTTGAGCCCGATTGACACCCCATGAAGAACTAGGTTACGGATAATTAACAGGTTGCCGGTCCCAAGAATAGGATTTAGAAAATTGTACATTTTGATATTTTACAGCCTTTACATCCAACTTAAAATATTCAGAATTATCCGCGTAATCCTTCTATGTACACTTGGAACATACTTTCTAAATTGTAATATAGATCCCTCTATATTAACAGAACTAAACAAAAGAACACGTAAAGCTTAGTCTCGCGTTTGTGTGAATTGCCGAAAAATAAGATTACGAATTTTATCCATAATATGTTCAAACTTTCCTGAGTATTTCTGGCAGCAATCAGGCCACGAGAAGCTTTAAGATACTCCGATAAAAGGAGGCTTAATTCTTAGAGCTGTTAAGAAATTAAAACCTAATGAAAGTGGTAGAACTGGTCTGCTACGTATTTTATAAAATGTATTTATGTAATTATTCTACTTCTGGTAAAAAAAATATGATAGTGGATGTTGATATGCAAATCTTTTACTTATACCAGTAGGCTACCCACGGAGGATGACTTCCGCTACAGTGAAATATTGATATCCATTATGCCCCAAAACCTCTTTATAAAGCGCTGGTATATTGCTGGTGTACTTTCTATCCACAGCTGCCTCGTCGATCATATTTTAGACAAACGAAAATTTGTTCTGTGCTAGGTACCGGTTTCAAACGTAAACATAATTTCAATTACAATTTAAAAAATTAATTTTTCTGAGAAAACTCGACTTTACATGTTACATTAAAATATATTGTTACATTCTTATAAATATCCATACATCATAATTATGTTCGCGCAATATTTATTCATTTATGGCATAGTATTAAGCCCCTATTTAAATAGAAATTGTGTACTGGTTAAATCCGCCTGTTGTAGGTCTCTGGCTTTAAATGTTAAATGAACTATTTTTCGGACATTTGGCCACATAATCAGCTTTCTTGACTATCGGTGGCTTGGATATTGATTGTATTATACAATGTCCGCCACATATATATATATATATATATATATATATATATATATATATATATATATATATATATATATATATATATGTGTGTGTTAAACTATAATATTGCTGAAACCACGGTGACGGCCGATAAAAGGGCTGAAAAACGAGACATCGTTTATTATCGTGGCAATGGGACTTGCCAATCAAGAATATGAATTGTTAATCGGGCACAATTTTAGGCCATTTCTTGTCAAAACTTCAAACATTCATAACTTCGCTCAGAATAAAGTCATATGGCGGAAATTTTCATATATATTGGCTGAGCCAAATTAAAAACTTGACACTGATGAATTTCAACAAAAAAATTTTTCTGGTAAGTCAAATAAATTTTAAAGTGTTTCTAACGATAGTAAGTAGTAAGAAGCCTTTATTTTCATAAAATTGTAAAGTCACGTGGATCACGTGACTTTTGAGCATATAAAGATGAAAACCCTGAAAAACACGTGCAAACACAAACTCGTGAGGTCAATCGATGCAAGTTTGCTTAAACTGAACACGCACACGTAACTTGAACTGGAAAAACAAATTAAAATTGTTATTTTCATCTTTGTTAGAAAATGCCGCGCCTTTCAAATGTAGAACGTCTACGTGCTATAGGTAGGCTCTATGCTGGTCAGTCTGTGGTCACTGTTGCAAGAGCCTTTAATTGTTCACGCCAGACAATAATTAATCTTGGAATGAGAGTGCTTCAAACTGGAACTATTGCCGACCGCCCAAGGGCGGGAGCGCCACGTGTGACGTCACTCCAGGAAGATCAAGCAATACGATTACGTCATCTTAGAAACAGATTTGTCACTGCAACCTCCACAAGTAGAGAGATGTTTGGTGGAAGGGTAACTGCACAAACTGTTCGAAATCGCTTGCAGGCTGCTGGTCTTCGAGCTCGGAGGCCCTATAATGGACCAATATTGACACCTCTTCATCGCCGTAAAATACTTGTGTGGGCCACAAGACACATTAGTGACGAATCTCGATTCATTTTGAGATTTGCCGATGGCAGGGTCCGAGTGTACCGCAGACGAGGTGAACGTTACGCTTAAGTAAGCGTCAGAGAAGTTGACCGATTTGGTGGCGGCAGCGTCATGGTTTGGGGTTCTTTTTGTGCACATGGACGTTCTCCTCTTGTTGTTTTCCAAGGGAACTTAAATGCTGTTCAGTACACATCTGGGACGAACTGGGTCGACGTGTTCGTCAGCAAATGAATCCACCACTGACGTTGCAGGACCTTCAACATGCTCTTGCTGAGCAGTGGCGACGTCTTCCTCGGGTAGTGTTTACTAATGTTCTGAGATCCATGAGAAGACGTTGTGTGGCAGTACGAGACGCTAGAGGATGCCATAACTGTTACTAAACACTTTATTCCGATTGTTCTCCAAGTCTGTGAATTTCATTTTGGGGGGTACTGTGACATCACGAACGTTATCAATGTCAAGGACTTTCGGCGAGACGTATTCTAGCTTTCTGTTGATGTCAAGGTCGTCTGTGCACAACATAACACTAAAATAGTTGCCTTAAACCAAATATTAAAAATCTAGTCCCAAAAATCCCGAGTGTCAAGTTTTTAATTTGGTTGAGTATATATAACTTGTTATTCTGATTCTGAACAGTTCGTCGTACTTCTCTGTACCGAGACGAATGCGATTTTTCAAACTATCTAATTATTTTTATCATTAATTCCAATCTGCTCACACAGTATTTTATGTTCTTTAATAATGACATCGCTAAAGAGTTAGCCTTTTACCCGAAGTAATGCGGTTGAATTATATTTTATTCTCTCTTTCTATCAAGATGTCGTAACACGAAAATTGGAATTTCAAATTGTTTTATTTAGCCAATACACACGAGAAAGAAATCATTTTAAAAAAGAGAATTAAATTTGCGATAGTTTTTCCCTGGTGATATACTATTCGTCTTTTTTTGATTGACTCTTTGTCTTGCATTAATTATATGACATTATTACAGCCTGTGCATATTTCATCAAATTTCTCGTATGATTTGTTGATCATTCGGAATGCATAGAGAATCTCATACGAGTTTTTTTTTATATCAAAAAATATCAACACTCGTCAATAAAGTAAAAAAAGTAGTTCCTTTTCAACTAACCAATCACACAAGCGATATCTACTGTAGAATGTATTATTGGGTGATAAAATATAATTAATGGATGGTCCAGTTGATCTGTACTCGTGGTCAGACAACAAGTAATAATATAATGTACAAAACGAAAATTATGGAAAGAGATACATGACTGATAAATCTAGAAAAATAATAATAAGCGTTACATTGGCAAGTCCATGGAGAAATTGCCCATATTTTTGTCCCATTTAGATGAAACGTAATATGTAACAGTATGTTAAGGATTTAGATGAAAATTCAAAATATGTTAAGAAACATGGGTTATTCAAAGATATTTCCACAAGAAGTATTTGCGTGAATTTTGATAATGTATCCACAATTGAAAGATTTCCCTGGTATTATGCAGTTATCTTCTGCACTATATCACAATCTGACTTTTTGATTTAAAAAAACAACATATTATAAAGTAACTGTTGTTCATTATTTGCTTCATTTTGGTTAAAAGTTTGGCATTTCTGTTGGAGTTCAGTTTATTCAAAACTTATTATAGTAGGATTTTGGAACATTAAACATTCGGCGTAATGAATTGTCAGTCTATTGGTGTGTAATCATTAGAGAACTTGAAACCAGAAGAAATTAAAGTTTCAGACTGTCAGTCACAAGATATGAGTTTCATCACGCTAAAACTGCCTAAAGATAAGATTTTATTGTTTGATAAACTTTTACGCAATCGGAAAAAATTATAAGATATCTGTCAGCACCTCGTAACTAAGACACGTTTAGTGTTAAAATAATGTACCCGGAGCTATTTCAGTTTTAACGATGTTTTCAGACCCCTTCCTGGAATAAGATTTTTAGATGGGAGGACAGACAATGTTCTATCAAACCATCATGGCGTATAATTTGAACAACGGATAACGATTGATAATCAAGAAAAGAAGAGACCCCTGGCTGATTTGCCATTACCGCTCGTTTCTTGTATTGATAATGTTGGTAGTATTGTCGATTAATACCTTAGTGCTATGATAGACCATAGACACACATTCTGTAGCTTCATTAGAAAAACTCTTAATACATGCTGATCACACGCCCATCCTATCCAATATATTCGATTAACCGAACAAGTTGTATAGTTTGTCAAGTTAAGTTAATCTCTGTCTATTTCGGACCATTATATTGACTGCCGGGAGATTTACACCCCCACTTTAACAGCGAGTCTATGTATATATGTCGGACATACCGAAATATATATCTTGATCTGCCCATATAACCTCATAAACTTGTCATTGTGTCATCCGCCTTATATATATATCAATCTTTTATGAACGTATTTGAAATCTGATGCCTCCTTTGCTCTCCAATTTGTTCTGCTACCAATATACATTAAAAGTATCTAAGCACGTCTTGATTTGGACCTAAATATGTGCTAATTCGATCTTAGACGCGAAATGAAATAAAATAGGGCTTAACGCAGAATGGACTAATGAAGACAAGAATATAACAGAAGTAATCCACAAAAACCAAGTCTTTCAAAGAAAACGATCAGTCTTTCAAAGAAAAAAGATCAGTCTTTCAAAGACAAAAGATATGTTGCCAATCGTTTGCTGTCCATTGTTCTGCTTCCAACATATACTTTAAAATCTCGTTAGCACTTAATTTTCCCCTTAGTTAAACGTGGTACAGTTTTTACTATTTACTACATAATAATTGACAAGATGAATGATTTTTTGTTCTATTTTATTTTCTAGGTGATTCAGATGTTGATTGTGGTTGTTGTTTTGTTTTCTGTTTGTTGGGGACCAATACTTATCAACAACGTTCTTGTAGCAGTTGGCGTCATTGAAAGGTTTCACTACGATTATCTGAAGCCCATGAGACAGGCGTTTTTTCTGATGTCTTATTTCAACAGCTGTTCCAATCCAATAGTGTATGGTTTTATGTCCAAGCACTTTCGGCAGAGTTTTAAGCGCGCCATCCTGTCTTGGTTTTGTTGTTCCAAGAGGAAACAATTCCAGAAAATCAGATACAGCTTAAACGCCACACGCTCAACGACTCTTTGCAGTGGACGAAGTAGTAGCCATAGCAGCAAAAGTAGAAACAAATTTTCTGAAGATTACAGAACTGAAATGCCATCGCCAATAATGGGAATAAAATCAAAATCAAATAAAACTTTGTCCCCTCCGATATGATAAACGTTGCTGGTGTCTGGTTATAAATTTATCTTTTGAACATGATACTAGCCAGATGGAAAGCTGTCGCATTTTGTCTTTACATCCGACATGTAAAGTCTGGTACGGAACTCCCGGGGATGTATTATTTTATCTCCCAGTCAACTATAAAACATTGTGCAATCATCGATAACATGTTGTGAATTGTGATTTATCATATTCTGTGGCGCTCCACAAATAAAAAACAACGATGGCTATAATGAATACTAATGGGTTTTTGTCTTTATGGCAAAACGTCAATGGGTTATTGTATAACCAGCCTTATATTATTGGTTTACATGTTGTTGTTATCTGTTGTTATAGAGAAATAGATTTATCAAGTCTACTTGTGTTTAGAGATGTTAATATGTTTTGTTCATTTTAAAAAAATAATTGAATTGCGAGCAGAGAAATAGAAATCACGCAAATGAGAATTAACTGGACATTTTATAGGTTAAACAAAAAGATGCCAAGTCGAGATAATAAGATAGTCGAAGAGCTGTAATCTGACCTTGTATGGGTAATAACCGAAATTCTCATTTGAAGACAAGGTTGAAAAACACAATAATTGAAATTTTGACTATTTGCTTTCTGCTTCTTGCTACAATTACATGCGGAGGGGCCATTTTCATATTGGCGGGGTACACTTTCACCAACAATATACTTAGCCAAGTTATACCGAGGGATTTTGGCCAGTTTATAGCGAAAATATGTAAGGTAACACAATTGTCATTTTTTTCCTTATTGACAATTATGAAATATTATTGACAATTATGAAATAATATTGACAATTATGAAATATTATTGACTCCTAATACAGTGTTGAGCAACGATGGCTCGGTGAGTAAGACGTTGTTTCGCTAAACTAGAGATCCCGATTTTGGCCGAGAAAGCCCATCGGGTATTACCGACGTGGTTCCCCCTTGTCAGTGGTACAGAACGGAGGTCTTGACAAGGGGCAACATACAGTCGTTCAGATTGGATAAAAAATACTGTCTAATGCAATATACATTTTCCATGTACACTTTTGTTTATTAATACAGACAGGAGCTTAATTCTACTTAAATTATCGTATGCTTTACAGAAATTCAGGAATACTACTAATAACCTCCCCTTGGACTTCGAGATAGATATTTTTGAATTAAACACTGCAATTTATAAAAGCATGATCTATTGTTCACCTACCTTGGCGATACCCTGCCTGTGCGTCACCTAGTTTGCCTTGACTTTCTGACCAATATTTTAGTCTATTATTTAGAACTGCTGAATATAGTTTGCCAATGCTGTCCATTAAAGAAATACCCCTGTAATTGTTGAGATCTGTGCAGAGGGGTTATTAGAGTTCTAGTCCAAGAAATCGGAAAATAGCCAGTGTCAAATATATTGTTAAACAGCACCGTAAGGGTAGGTATTAGTTCTTCGGGACAAGCTTTGATAAAGTCAACGCTTATTCCATCAGGATTAGGAGGTGTTGCTGCTTTTGTGTCTTTCAGACATTTTCTTACCTCATGTTCTTTAATATTACAATTAACTAACAATTCGGTGTTACAATTTTCAACTGTACAGTTATTATCAAAGATATCTACAATACTAGAGGTTTCGTTCGAGAGCGAATTGTCAGTTTCATCGTTTCTTGGGTTAAGAAGACATTCGAAATAGTTAGCCCATTTCTTCGGGATTTATACCAGGGTGGATTATTTCCCCTGCCTTCCATTTTTTTAGTGTTTTCCAGAATGTACTAGGATTTGCTAAATTGTTTAAAAGTTGGCTATGACGCTCTTTCTAGAACAAAGCTTTCTTAATTTCACATATATATCTGAATTGACATTTCTGATTTTTATACTCAGTGAGAATATTAGGGCTGTTTGTTAACCTAAACAAATATAATGTGGAATATTTCTCTTTCTTTGATTGTTTACATTCCTTATCAAACCATGCAGGTTGACGTTTTACAGGGGTGATTATAGTAGTAGAAGGGGTGGCAATACAATTATGGACACTTGAAATAATCATTTTTTGCAAGTGTGAAAGCTTCTATTTATGCTACTTTGAAGCATGTCACTAATTTCTATGAATAAATTGTCTTTGTGATCGGATAGGTTGGAGCTAATGCGTCGTTCCAGAATAATTTGGAATACGGGATTCTGTTTTCATGATTGAAGACATGGATATTGGTTATGCTATAGTTCAATGCACAGCTTAAGGGTAAATGATCAGATTCAGTTCTATACTCTACACTAAATGAGTTAATGAAATGATAAATATTAGTTGACACTAACACATAATCTACAACGACAGCGCCATTGTATTTTAAATTCGCCTTCAGAATCACCCTTACTTCTTCCATTAGCCACATGAAGATTTGAAGTTACACATAATCTTAACAGATCCCTACTAAAATTGTTCGTTTCTTTATCTTTGGACTTCCTCGGTACTCGAAAGTTATCGTATCTGTAATCTGCATCCCCAAGGCTCGGTAAAAAAAAAGTTGTCGTGTTATCTAAAATGCATATTCATCATTATTTTCCAGTTCTGGAATTAAAATCACCACACAGAATAATGTTGCTATCTGGAAAGTCCGAAACACTTGCTCTAATTTAAGTTCTATCTAGACCACCAATACCATCCTCGCTTACGTGTATAGTGGAGACTTCAGGGGCCATATAAACAACTCCATATATTAAAGGGGAACTAAGAGTTTGTCCAGGAATTTTTAAGAAAACCGATTCGTTGAAAGTTTTGTGTATGCAAGTGATATTACAGACGTGGATCAATATTTTGTTTACTAAAACCATGACACCGCCTCGATGTTTCCCATTTTCACGGATGCAGTTAAAAAATTTCATAATTTGGAAAATGCTGTGATAGATCAATCTCGCCACACCGGGTTTCTAGTAAGCAAATGATTTCAAAACTTGGTAGGCACTTGATAACATGTTACAAAATTAATTACATGTAAGTCGTTGTTTTCATCTGTTCAGTGCGGTGTTTGCTATCTTCTGGATCCAGTTATTGATTGTTGATTTGTAGTTATGTTGATGGAGAAAACATCATTGTCGATAACAAGTTTATCATTCTTGAGAAACGATCTCCTGTTCGCCTCCTTCGTCTTGACTAAATGTGGTATCAATGCTTTTCGAACTTTTCTAACAGTTAGTAACACGTTTTGAAAAGTCTTCGGATATTTTGACATGCGCATCGTTGGGTTGTTCTCTTCCCGACGACAAAATCAAATATCTATCTCTGAGTTTATTGAATGCAACTAATATGTCAGTCTTGTCTTACCCAGCCTAAGCACACTCTCAATACAAACATCCGAATCCCTACTCACATCTTTTAACTTTGATATCACGCCGTCTCTGATTAATTGTTCACGTTCACTAGGCGTTTCAATTCCGATTTCCATTTCTTCTAATCGATAAAATATTAAATTACGCTCCTTTTTCCTACTTTCACAGTCTTCGGGCCTTTTTTTTATCTCCTCGTTTTCTGTTTTAACTGCTCCATCCTAATATTTACCACCTCTTCCTTAAAGTTCATTTTACGAACTTCATTTCTAAGCTGGGAAATTTCATCTCTTACATGTATGTCTCGAAGGAGGCTGGCCAAGGCATTGCCTTGATCGGGGCCTTTTGAAGGATAGACCAATTCCCCAGTTCTTGAAATCGACCCTGTCTGGTGCTTGGTCCAGAATAGGATTCCACATCCCCACTCAGTAACAGTAAGCAAGAAAACACAAACAGGACTGAGAGGGTCAAGTTTGTAATTCTGAGTTTATGCAACTTACATTTTGCAGTTGCTATTTTATGATGATAAAGTCCTATGATCATCCTCCATGCACCGACGGCACAATAATATAGTTTATGCAGAAGCAATTAAATCCTGTTTGACAGAAAATCCATGAAATCAAAGTTACGGTTCGTTGAACCCCGGGTCCCTTAAACCACTCGTCCTTACACCTCGGCTGCTATCCTTCTCAATATTCGATATAAGAATATGCCGTAGTGGCGATGTCCGGGCAAAGTTTAGCGTATGCCCGTCTTCTTTCAAAGACTGGGTTTTTGAGGGTGGCATCTGTCATTTTTCTTGTCTTCATTAGTCCATTTGGTGCAGAATTGTAGGAAGTTAAACCCGATTTCATTTGATTGCCTAATGTAGTGCCCTGTGGAAATGGAATACTCAGATTTTATAGTACCATACAGTACTTTACCCTATGAATTACATTATTATGTCATAAATATTGGAGCCACGGTGGCTAGATGAGTAAGACGGTGGCTCGCTAGCCTGGACGCCCCGTGTTCGCTCCCGGGGTTGGCCCAGAAAGTTCATCAGGATTTTCCGGCGCGGTTTCCCGTCGTTCGGATGGGACAAAAAAACCTGAGGTGCCGTCTACACATGGACATTCACGTAAAATATACCTTAGCAGTTGAAATTCGATATAAGAGTAGGCCGTAGCGCCGCTGTGCGGGCAAAATTGCCCTCATAGCCCAGTCGGAGAAGAACAGTAGGGTGTTAAACCCCACTTCATTTCAAAAACATATTGATCTTATTTCTAACGAGCGTGGATTAGCTAATAAATTGTTGTTGTTGTGATATATAATACCAATATTGCGAATATTACGAGCCCGATTTATATTCTACAGTTCTGTCTTGAGTGACACCAAATTTACAATAACAAAAAAAGTCTAATACCATGCGGCACAGTTCTACAAACTTAAAGAAGCTAAATCGCTAATATTTGGGACCTAAAAATTGACAAAAATGGGTCGCAACGCATATAATAATGTAATATGAATGTATATAAACTGATTTACATCCAATCGTTTCTGTTTTTACTGTAATTTCTAATCAGTTATGTTCGGCGAAATAGGCCAGAAGTCTCATGTGAATGGCGATCTTTAGCGTCTGGTTTTTTTTCCAGTCTACACCGATGGTATTTATTGCGCATGCTCTCCAGATAAGAATATAGCGTCACCATTTGACATGACTTGTGGAATATGTCTAGCCCTGTTCTTTGAATCCCTTGTTCCAAATGGCTCTAAAACGCATTATGGTACACGATTCGTGTACCAATGGTAAAATGTTTATTTTGTCTTGAATATTGGATATCAGAAGCCCATCTTTTTCTTGTAAGATCACAAGACCAATGTTGATTTGAATTGACAAATAATTCATGTTTTCAATGTCGAAGACTTAGCTACTTTAAAGAATGAGCCTAGGGAATTGGTCAGATTTAAGAGTGGAATCTAAATGTTCTACATTATAGCTTGTCAAATGCATGACAGTGCAACGATTCATTTTGAAATATCAGGATGTCTGTTCCAGATTAATAACGTCCGCGAATATATACAATTTTAAAACTTCATAAGGTCTTAATATAGGGACGGTAAGGGCATTTTGTTAAGGAATCTGAAGCACTCTACAGATCACAATTTGTATCCGGTTTTGATGAAAATATGTGTTTATATACAAATGATCTCGGATGGGTTCGAATTTGACTCTGATTATTGGTTCTGATAGTACGCAAAGTCGTGTTTTTAGGTGACTATTTTTATTCGATTTTATGAAACGTAAAATATATGTTTAAACATCTCGTCCATTCGGCATGAAGGTTTTGTATATAGGCCTATGCATACATGTAACAACAACAAGAGTCTTCAAATTAAAAATAGTACAAGTTAATGTAAACAATCTGATTTGCTTTTTACGATTTGTTATTCTCGGGGGTAACAAAAACACAGGCAGACCACGCCAACATCCAGTATATGCTGTGTCAAGCAAAGTGTGAACTTTGTCATTCTTTAGCAAAGCATGACAACCATAGTACAGTGAAGATATATATACAAAATATGGAACACCCCAATGAAGGTTGGGTTCGAATGTCGTAAAAATCCGACCGGAAATGCCGGACAAAATGTCCACTCCGTGTACGCAAATAGGCTAGAAGTATTTAATACCGCAAGGTTGTGGACCATCTAGAAGTCACAATTTTTATCCAATTTTGTCCGGCAGTTTTGGTCCGATTTTCACAAAATTCGAACTCAACCATCATTAGTGTGTAACGTTGATATATTGGAACGGGTTTTTAAATCGGATAATAATTGTGACCTCTAAAGGGACCACGGGCTAAAAACGTGATTTTTGGTACAATCAACGGTCATAATCAGGAAGTTACGATCTGATATGCGCGAGTATCGGAGGGAAAAGGAGATCTTAGGGTTATAAACATGTATTTCAAGTTTCATCAAAATCGGATCAAAATTGTGACCTCCAGAGGGTCCACAACCTATAATGCCATATGTTTACACTATTTGCGTACGAGGGGCGGCCATTTTGTCCGGCAGTTTTAGCCCGATTTTCACAAAATTCGAACTCAACCGACATTACGGTGTAACGGTAATATATTCCAACGGTTTTTAAATCGGATAATAATTGTGACCTCTAGAGGGACCACAAGCTAAAATCGCGATTTTTCGTACAATCAGGGGTCATAAATCAGGAAGTTACGATCCGATATGCGCGAGTATCGAAGGGAAAAGGAGATCTTAGGGTTATAAACATGTATTTCAAGTTTCATCAAAACCAAATCAAAATTGTTACCTCTAGAGGGTCCACAGCCTATATATACCATATATTTACACTATTTGTGTACGAGGGGCGGCCATTTTGTCCGGCAGTTTTGGCCCGATTTTCACAAAATTCGAACTCAGTCGACATTACGGTGTAACGGTGATATATTCCAACGGTTTTTAAATCGGATAATAATTGTGACCTCTAGAGGGACCACAAACTAAAAACGCGATTTTTCGTACAATCAGGGTCCATAATCCACGAAGTTAGTCCTACTGTCCGATACATGCCAATATCGAAAGGAACCGAGATCTTTTGGAGATAAACCTAATTTCAGGTTTCATTAGGATTGGATACAAATTGTGGACACAATACGCAGAAATCACAAACAAACGTACCAAATTAAGTGAATGGACCCGGGGCTTAGCCGTAGGCTTAAGCGATCACTGCGCTGTACAGACCCGGGCCATAGGCCTAATACAGGAAGATACAGTCCGATATGCGCAAATATCGAAAGGAACCGAGATCTTTGGGATATAAACATACATTTGAAGTTTCATCAAAATCGGATAAAAGTTGTAACCTCTACATGGCCAGAAGCTAAAAACGTGATTTTTCGTACAATCAGGGTCCATAATCCACGAAGTTACGGCTCGATACAGTCATGCCAATATCGAAAGGAACCGAGATCTTTTGGAGATAAACCTAATTTCAGGTTTCATTAAGATTGGATAAAAATTGTGGACGACAATATAGACCAACGTTCACATCAAAATATGGGCATGTAAAAACACCTGAACGGGATGGTTAGATCAAAATATTGGCCACCTGCAAATTTTTGGGATATATGGGAGACAACTCTAGTCAACAGTTTCGTAGGCAGACCACCATTAATTAACCACTGACATTAAAGTATAATGTTGGTGTCCATAATATGTGATAGAACTGGTTAAATCGGGCTCGTAATATTCGCAATATTGGTATTGTATATAACAAAAATAACAGTTTATTAGCTAATCCACGCTCGTGAGAAATATTTTCAATAAGCTTATGAAATGAAATGGGGTTTAACACCCCACTGTTCTGCTCCGACTGGGCTAATGAAGACGGGCATACACCATACAGTGAGCTATGAGGGAATTTTGCCCGGACAGCGTCGCTGTGGCCTACTCCTATATCGAATTGCAACTGCCAAGGGATCTTTTACGTGCACGCCAATGTGTACACTGGACCTCGGTTTTTGTCCCATCCGAACGACTAGACAGCTTTCCTTGTCAGGCCCTCCGTCCTGCACCAATGACAAGGGGAAACCACGTCGGAAAATCCAGATGAACTTTCTCAGCCAAAGCAGGGAGAACTGGTTGAAAATATTCCAAATATAATGTTAACAGATATTATTGCTACGGTAAACGCGTAACCAAGATTTGAAGAAATGGGAAACGACGCAAAAAATTGAAAAAAATAAGTTATCCTTATATATAACTGACTGAAGAATTTATTTCACTGAGATGGATTTCAGTGTAGTCCCCTAAACAACACCCCAAAAATGTTCCAAAATAGTTTTAGTGGAAAGGGATCATAATTTCGTGTTTCAAAAATTGATTTAATGCTAAAACTTGGCTATCAAAATTTGGTGGAAATTGTGGCTAAAGCCATGTTTTCGTGGCCAGGGAAGCAAATAAACACATTAAGAATATAATCACAGATACACGGTCGATTTTCAGCTAGAAGACGAAAAGTTGTGGTATTAGACTGTGAGACGATATATGTTAGAAACTAAAAATTCACTCGAGCATCACTAACACTGCAATATACGTCTACATTCCTGCTTTCATTGATATGGTACTTTTTAAAATGAATAGAATGAAATATGAAACAGCTATAATATAACAAGAGGCAAAGATGGCTAGGCGTTGGGTTTGTTTTGTCAAATTTACAGACAAAATATTAACAAAAAAGTGGATGGGACACTGCTCCAGGGGGTCGGAGCATGCACCAAAATAAATAGTTCTGTGTTTACGGAAATCGGAGGCCCTATAATGGACCAATATTGACACCTCTTCATCGCCGTAACCGACTTGTGTGGGCCACAAGACACATAAGGCTTACTCAAAGACGGTGGAATTCGGTTGTCTTTAGTGACGAATCTCGATTCACTTTGAGATTTGCCGATGGCAGGGTCCGAGTGTACCGCTCCAAATTTAGAGTAGGCCTACTTATAAAATTTACAACAGCTCAATTTCTGAGAAATCAAGGTTTGAAGTCTATGAGTAGCGAAGCAAGACAATGAAAGTTTGCAGAATTATTTGATTCCTAAGAACTAATTTCTTTTCCCCGAAAACAACTGAATCTTTAACGCTTACAAGATAAATAAGCTACATCTTTGCATTTGGCAACTGTCTTGCATACTCTTATGCACTTGTCTGGTCATTCACAGTGAAAAGTGAAACTGTTTCTTTAACTTAATAAAGAAGCCAACAGTGAGGCCTATTTCCCCTGCATCAATACCCAAATAAATAGACATTTATTCATTATTTGCGCATTTTTTTAATATTTTTTTTAAAGAAGCATTGTTTTTATAAAGATTATTAACATTTTTCTTTTACACTCTTTTCAGGAAAAAGTACATATTCATCACATCCCCCAGTTGGAAGCAGAGTTATTGTATTTCAAAGTCTTAGTCAATGAAATTACTCATCCCTAACTAGCCTCAGTCTAGCAATTCACCAATCTGATTAAAACAGATCCTATTTCGTTTCGTTTTTTATAGTTTAAAATTTCGTTTTACTTGTCTTTACTACACTAGGATCTGGAAGAGTTGTTATATAACCCACGATCTAGATGATGTGAGGGATTAGCCAATGAAACGGTCTGTTACGGCAAGTTTTTGGCGTGAGGTTCACGAAACTTTGGGAAAACCACTGAAAATATTAACGCTGATTGATTAATCAATGTCTGACATAAGTTCAAAAGCCGCTTGTATGACACCTGACGTGACCTTCCACTACAACTGGTCAGATCTTCATGTAGTTTAGGCTATCGAAAGTATATAGTAAATGGGGTTAACTTCCACTTGACAAAACCAGGTCATTTTGGGACTAACAAATGGTTCAATTCTATTTCAAGAATTCGCTTGCACGTAGGGGTCTTTAGCAGTGGGAGGAAACTGGAGGACCCGGAGAAAACTCACAAGGTTGGACAGGCAACCCTACTCCTTGTCACGTACAACCGGGGAATGAAAAGTATATAAAAAAAAAAATAAAAAAAATGAAACAAAATATAGATCTGTATTTTAATCAGATTGGCAATTCACATACATCAAGTCTGAAAATTCTATCTCATTTAGAAACAGAGTTATTGTGTTCCAAAAGGTGTGACAGACAGATGGACAGGCATTTGCATAGCCAATGCAGAAAATGCTCATCACCGACTCGGTCAAGATAGTTAAATTACATAGATTAAGTACAATATACCATTGGTTATTCTCAGGCATGATATTTTATTTTAATACATTAACAGACATACGAGAAGGAATTCAACTTTCATTTGATAGTTGAGTTATAAACAAAATTGTATTTAAGCACTAAAGTAAAATATGAGCTAATCATGCAGGTATTTCTATTAAAGAACTATATGCCAATTTCTTTATATTAATTGTTACTTATAAAATAACTATCTTGAATCAACTTTATTAACAGTCAATCATTTTATTCTACTTAAGATTTAAAAAAAAAAGAAAAAAAAAAAGAGAGATCAATTGCACAAGCTTCTGAAAACCATTTATATTTGACTTCTATTTAAGCTTTTACAATCTATTCCTTAAATATGATTAATATACAGAAGATAAAGATGGCACTCAGCACACAGAATATTTCAATCAAATTTTGATTTGTTCTTATACATCCTTCTCACATGAGAGAAATACACAAATATTGACATACCTACATCAGCTCTTTAAATAAGAATATATCTGTACAATTAATTTCTTTTATATCACAATTGTGTCAATTTATTCTATAAAGAATACGCAAACTAAAAGAATAGCAAACTGAATTTTCATTTGACACATTGTACACACTTCTTTTTAAAAGCAGCAAATTATATTATTCATAGAAAGAAGAAATTTGACATAAATAATGATAATTTGACTCTAAAGAATAAATATAAACTATTAATTAATTAATGATTTAATTATTCTCTCGTTTCTCTCAGAGAGGGTATGTATGGATGGCTACTTCAACACAATAAACGAAATACTGAAAGCAGAATCGAGAATACGAATGAATCACATTAAAACATAACTCAATTACAATTTCTATTTACAAAAAAATATAAGACAAAAATAAAACCGTTTTCTATGGAAATCTGTGGTATTAAAAGTGCACGAACCAAAATATTCAATTTGTTAATTGGGTCCGTTTAATTTTTCATAATAAAAACTGATTGTCAATATCACACATACAGCCTCCAAAATGGTATGTTGTAATTCAGTGTTAAAATCATCATTTGAAACCAAAATATTATAAATGTACAAATTGAAATTAAATAAATCTATCCTCATTACAAAATCCCCTCCTGTTATTTCTAATGGCTGCTAAAAAAAACAAGTTGAAACTATTAGAAAAGAATATAGAGAAACTTTGGTTTGTACTATACACAACATAAATACTGTTTAAATTTCATGCATAGTGTCTAAATAAATATCTAGAAGATATAAGATTGTAAACCTATAAATTTTGTTAGCCTTGACTTGACACAGTTCACATATTCCACAAAAAAAAAGGTGATGTTGAAGGGAAAAAACATGAACAAATCATATACTTATTATAACAGTATTTCATGAAATGTGGTCATTTTTACATTCAGATTAATGATTTTATATTTCATCTTTATACACATAACGAAAATGTGCCTACTTTTTTTTCATCTTTTATGATTTTTTTGCAATCAGTTTTAATATTTACACTCATGCAAATGTTACTTCTATGTACAGAATATGATAATATATACTTTATATATATATATTTATATATCAGCCTCTCTGATTTTTTGTTTAGCCGAAAAGCTGAAAGACTTGTAAATGCATTTGGCCAGACTCAATTTTGTCAATTGGATGGGACATAGAAAACAAAATTGAATAGAAACTTCTTATTACATAAGAAAATGAACAATTATAACATTCATACATCTCCATACACAATCATATCTCCATACTAAAATATCACACTCTTCATAATATCTATCAAACGCATTCACACTATTATCCTAATTAAATGGACATTCAAGATCAGAATAGGATTTTTAAAGTAAAAATTAACAATAGCTTTTGTTTATATTTAAATTGATCAAAATTTTAAATATCAAAATTGATAATTTTTCCTCTCGAAAGAAAACAAGCTTGTAATTTCTTCTCCAACTGACTTCTTTATAAATATACTTGCTTCAAATCGAGAATTCAAACTTGATAAACGAAAATTTCAGAGGAAAATAAAGGTGGCACATTTGAAATAGTCTTTAATGTCAAATGGGTAAATTTAAAAAACTTCTTACTACATAAGTTTCAAGGTCATTCAGTTCATATACATCATCATTACATAATAAACAGATATAAGTTTTGATAATCATCATAAAAATGATTGATTAACATGCCCATAAGTTTCTGGAGAACAAAGGCTAAGTTTTAATCTGTGCCATGATGGTTCAAGAACATCAAAGGAATCCACATCCAAATTCAATGAAGTGTCATGGCGTTGTAACAAAACTGTATCTTGAGTCTGGCCAAATGCTGTGAGTCATTTCTGCCGTTTTTTCTTTCCCCTTTTGCGTCTTCCATACCAACACATGCAGCACCTGCAGCAGAAAGCAATAATAACCCTGCGTAAAAAATTACGCTAGGAGTAGTCCAACTGCTGATAGTATATTCCACAAGACTTCATGTCAATGTGGACTATAATAAAGTGGAAAGGGGGCATAACAGTACAGCAATAATAATATATAGAGCTAATAGTTGATGACAGTAGTCTAATCGAAGAGAAACAGGAGTAAAAAGCAGCTGATGAGATCCACACCTTTACGATTGTCGACCTTTCTTTTTCTTGCGGCGCCTGAAGAAACAGCACCTGAAAGCAGAGAGAATATCGTCCAATCCATACTGGCCACCTCTACCATTCTAATGGTGTATCCACGATTTCTAATAACCGTGCTACGTATTTACACTTTGTGATCCTTCTCCATAGAAGAAAGGTGTGGATTATTATCCACTGCTCTACTTCAAAATACATGTAGTGGGGTTTGTATTTCTTTCGTATTGGTTCTCTATCCATGTATACTCACATTCATAAAATTGTGTCCTTAATCTAGCTTACTGCAGATGTAGCTTACCAAGTTTTAGTCAAACAAAGAAATATATATGTGGGCATGCAGAGAAATCACTTTAAAAGAAAAGTGTCAGATTTTAACAAGCAAACAGTGAACGTGATGTTCTCCACCTCAACCTCCAAATAAATAGATGATACTCATTTATTACTTGCTCATTCTTTAAATTATAATGCTTCAAGGAATCAAAATGTTTATCACTCTGTTTAAACTTAGCAGAAAATGCTTATGATCAAACTTAAGTCAAGGTATTGATGTGATAAAATCATTCACCAAGCCTGAACACTCTCCTTACATAAGAAACAGAGTTATTGTGTCTAAAAGTTTCAACCAATCAAATTGCATATCTCTGCTTAGCCTGAGCAGAAATCACTGTCAAACTCAGTCAAGATCTTCACATAATGACCATCTAAACCAAGTTAGAACATTCTAATTCAACTAGAAATTAAACCAGAGTTAATGTGTCCCAAAAATAACAGAAAGACGGACAAACCCATTATAATAATCCCCTGCTTTCTTCAAAAGGTGGGGGACAAATAATTAAAATTCTAGATTGTGTCAGTTTTCTCACTATAGAGAAAACATTAATTTCAAACTTTGGAGGCTTGTGTATATACTATATTATAATGGTATTATGTTGGAAATGTTAATTACAACTGTGACTAAGCAGTCTTATAATAAGACAAATAGTTCAAGTGAAGTTAAATCTGACACTTTCTCTGTTGCAGAAGATAAAGCAGCCAAATGAAAGTATTCAAGAAACTTTTTGATCCAGAACCTTTCAATCAAAATGTTGAGGAAAAGGGTTAAATACTGACATGTTCCCGACAATACAGTATTAAGCCAAACCAATTTAATTTTTACTTATTCTGGGTCTGCATAAATAAACAGCCATGAATCTTATGAAATATGTTTTATTTCAAATTGTTGTGAATGACATCTTGCAACAAAAAATATGTCCGTCAAGATGTTACAGTTATCAATATGGATAACAACCTGTTTCATTTATCTGTACAAAACTATGTTAAAATATCCAAGGTTTTTTTTTTTTTTTGCTTTTTTATTTAAATCTGATGAGTTTTGTATTGATATTCCAGGGCCCTGTTTCACGAAATTTTAACTAAAGATAAAATCCAAATTTTAGTAGATACTTCAATTTTGATTGGCTAAGCACTAAAATCAATCTAATATTATCCAATCAAATTACTAAAATTTGGATTTTATCTTAGTTAAAATTTCGTAAAACAGGCCCCAGAAAGAGATACTTAGTTAGAAACAGACATTTTTTTCACAAAGCTAAATTAAAAGGTCATCCAACTAAGAGTTTATACTGGAATATATATCTAATAAGACTCAACAGTCAAGAAGAGGTAAGCCAGGTTAGAATATAGGGCATAAATAAAAATGTGCAATAAAACTTAAAACCTTTTCTTCCAAAATTTAACATCATGCTTAATCAAGAATTTAGGCCAACAAGAAGAAAAACAAGTTAACATTGAGGTTGAAGTCCTTCGCCGAAAACCCAAAATAAATAGATGACACATACTAATTAATTGCACATTTATCGTCTTTGAAACGTATCGAGCAATCAAACTGATTATCTTTTCTTAGTCTTAGCAGAAAATGTTCACAATCTAACTCAGTCATGTTTTTGGTGTACTTGGTAGTGAAACTACACAATAAGTTTCATCACTCTCTATCAGATAGAATCAAAGTTATCTTGTCCCAAAGCATTGACCAATGAAATTGCTTAGCAATCATTAACTCAGTCAAGACATTCACCTAATGAAAATCTTCACCAAGTTTAAACAACATACCTCAGTTAAAAGCAAGAGTTGTTATGTTCCAAAGTCTTGACCAATTAAACTGCTTATCTCTAGTTAGCATAAGCAGAAAATTCTCATCGAACTTGGTCAAGGTATTGGAATACTGAATCTCACCTTCTCACCCAATTAGAACCAAAGTTGTCGTGTTCCAAAGTTTCAACTAATCATATTGCTTATCACTGCTTAGCCTTAGTGCAAAATTTCATGATTGAACACTGTCAAGCCATTCACCTACACCAAGTTTGAACATTCTACCTCAATTAGAAGGAGCGTAATTGTGTTCCAAAGTCTCGACCAATCAGATTGAAGTACCTACTTAGCCTAAGCAGAAAATGCATATCATCGAACTTAGTCAAGGTATTGATCCAATGAAACTATTCATGAAGTTCCACCACTCTCACTCAATTAGAATCAAATTTATCGAGCTCCAAAGTCACGTCCAACGAAATTGCTTATAGCTCTGCTTACCCTTCAAGCAGAAAATGCTCATTATTGAACTTAGTCAAGGTATTGATATAATTATAATGAAACTATACTACACCAAGTTTCATCACTCTCACTTAATTAGAACCAAAGTTATTGTGTCCCAAATCATCAACCAATCAAATTGCTTATCTCTGCTTTGAACTCCATAAATACCTACACCGAGTTTGAACATTCTAGCTCAATTAGGAGTTATTGTGTCCCAAAAATGTGATGGACGGACAGACAGACAGCCAAACCCATTTCAATAATTCCCTGCTTTCTTTGAAAGACCAGAACAAAAATCAAGCAAGCAATTGAGTGAAAGTTTTAACTTGTAGAGTTTTGAATTACAACAGTCCCATTACCTTTTGCCATTACAGGTGAGCATGCACTTATTATTTTGTATAAAAAAACACACAAAAAGAAGACGACAACAAGCCGTTGCCATGCAAGATAGACCCACATTTTGTAAAATTTGTTAGGCAATTTCAATCTGATTTTTACGAAATTCAATTTCAACCATCATTAGGGTGTAACAATGATATATTCGAACATTTTTTTTTTTAAATCGGATAAAAATTATGACTCTAAGAGGGACCATCGTTCAATCAAGGGCCATAATTCCGGAAGTTACGATTCAATATGCGTGAATATTGACAGGAACCAAGATCTTTGAGTTATAAACATGTATTTCAAGTTTCATCAAAATCAGATCAATCTTGTGACCTCTAGATGGTGCACAACCTTGATAATACATATTTGCTTACATGGGGCAGCCATTTTTAGTCCGATTTTCACGGTGTAACAGTGATATATTCGAACAGTTTTTTTTTAAATCGGATAATAATTGTTACCTCTAGAGGGACCACAAGCTTAAAATACAATTTTTCGTATAATCAGGAGTTATAAATCAGGAAGTTACGATCGAATATCAAAAGGAACTAAGATATTTGGATTAGAAACATGCATATCAAGTTTTATCAAAATCAGATGAAAATTGTGACCCCTAGATTGTTCACAAGCTAAAAACGTGATTTTTCATACAATCAAGGGCCATAATCAATGCCAATATCAAAAGGAACCAAGATCTTTGGGAGATAGACATTTCAAGTTTCGTCAAAATAGAATAAAAACTGTGACCTGTAGAGTGTCCACAAACAAATTGTGAATGGACATCCGGACAGACAAGAGCGATGGCATATTACGTCCAAATGAAAATGTGGGCATATAAAAATGTTTGATTAAACTTTTTGCTTTCAGTAGATTGGACAAATTGAAAATAAAAACATACTTTGTTTCATCAACTACTTCTACTTCAGGTGGGGCTGTTATTGGGGTATTAGAATGTGCTGCATTAGGGTCATCTGGCACTAATTCACCATTTGTTGAACTAACCACCTGCAATAGCATCATATAAATCAATAACACTGGTACTTGTACACACCTTTTAATCAAATAATACAGTATAGTTGTAATGTCCTAATATTATTAAATTATAAATGACTACTTTCTAATGTTATCATAATGCACAGTGAAGACAGTGAAGAAGATAAAAAAATTTCTAAGAAGCAATTCAAAAGAATGAGAAAAGTCATGGTTGCATTAGCATAAAAATCTACTTAATTCATCACCTACTATCAGACCGAAAATGCCTAGTTTGAAAATGGTAAACTCAGTTCACTAAATAAGTTAAAGATGCATAATGTAAAATTTAGATAAGGAGCTGGCTATACTGCTATAATAGTTTCAACATAGATGATTCAAAATTAATAATACCCGGTATATTGAAATTTTCATTCAAATTGCTTATTCTGAGCAAAGTTATTACTGTTCGAAGTTTTGATGTAGATTGTTTGACATTGTAGCAACATTACTTGTTATCGAGACTCAGCCTCACTTCTCAATTTTTAAATTAAATCATTAAATGGCGATCATATTTTAATCTCATTACATTTGTTCTAAAGAGTTGATTATAGTTTTGTCATGTGAATAAATTAAAGCCAAAATAAAAACCTGCAATAGGCTGATTTAGCTCTTACATAATGCACCTTTAATAGTTTTAATGAGTCAAACACTGAATGGTTCATTTGAAATTCCTACCATACATACATGTACCAAATATCTAGAATGGTTACACTATAGGATTTTTTACCCAAGATTTCAAGGTGATCTTTAAAATGATTGTAGAGACAATAGTTACAGGTACAAATAGTGTATTGCCACGTGAACCATGTTCTTCTGTTTTTGATACTAATATCAATCTAATCTACTATTTTCATTGTTTAAGGCATTCCAAGGTAATAGTAGATCTAGTTGTGCTGAAACTTTAGGTGGGGTCAAGAATGATCCTTATACTGAATCAATTGACGAAAAGAACATTTATAAATGATTATCATATGCTTTGTCTGTGGTGCTGAAACATATTCTTCAGTACTCTCTGTACTATGCAAATATCCAGGCATAAAATAATTTTCATTTTTATTAAACATGCATTATGCAAGAGCTAAATCTGCCTATTGCAGGTCTTTCTTTAGGCCTGAAATGTTTTCTAAAGTATTAATTAGACATTATTTAACTGATCCAGGCCTTAATCAACTCTCGATGGCATCAGATTTCTCCGATATTAAATAGATTAGAATGGTTCAGCAATACTTTGATTTAATCAAATATGGAGGACCAATACTTAGCTTCGATCAACCAATATGGTGGTTGAAATTATTGCACACGTCTGTCAAACCTTCAAAGGCTAATATCTTCGCTTGCAATAGAGTAATTTGAATGAAATTTTCAAATTATTCATTTTACATCATCTACTTTCGAACTTTTATTGCAAGAATGGCTAGTTCTTTATCTAAATCTTACATAATGTATCTTTCAATCATAAATGTACTTTGACAATTTTGGACTGGAATGTCTGTATAATTTAATTTAGTAATAAATCCACATCAAATAATCAATTCTCAACCCCACACCTTTAAATATTTATCTGTGATTATTTTAATATATGTGGATTTTGATGATTACAAATGAGGGTTGAAAATCATCTATGAACAATCAAAGGAAGTTTTTTCATGAATCCAACATATCAATTACGAGTGCAAAATTATTATTATATATTATGCTCTGCTCAATAGGTAACATGAGTTAAAGAATCAATTGTGATAAAGGATGATTTTGGGCAGAATCAGTCACACATTCAAGATTGTATTACATTAGAATCTGTATGACGAGTCACTCCTTCTCAGCGACATTGCCTTATAAGTCGTCACTATAAATTTCCTCTGTATAAATTCTTTGGTTTCATCTCTTTAATATTTAATAAAACCTTGTTTACATGTACATGGCCAGCGTTCACTATTTTAGTTACAAATTTATCAAAACATCGCCCATGTCAGCTTTTTATCCAAATCTTACATAATGCATCGTTAAGCTTTTGTTTTATTCAATGACAAACCCTAATCATTGTTTTCACATGTACCCAGAATATTATTTGATACTGGGTGAATAGACTGAATGTAGTGTCAAAGCAGAGTATTGTCATGATCATCTAGTATCTATTTCCACCATTTCACGGAGTTACATCCCCTAAATATGGAAATGTGTTTTCTTTTTTGATCAAATAAAAACAATTCATGTATTTTCTTTAGAAAAAGGGACAAGTATCGTCAAATACATAAGAAGGGTAGGCAGTAGTATTAATAACACATTTATAGAAATTTTTCCAGAGATTTGACTATCTGGGTCAAAGAATTTTCCGCAACGGCCAAATTTACCGATGCATCAATGCGAGTACAGATGTTTGCTCCCGACTCGTAAAATTTTACTTGATATAAGCACTAACAACCACTGAGATTTTAATGAGAGGACTCTACACTCAATGATAAGAGGTCAATCATGAGAATTCCTTTAACTGGCTACTGAATACAGATTCTACTGTAATAGTGTTTTTTATATATTCTTTTCCATAAACATAAAATAATCATAGATTATATGTAATACTAATTATCAAACCCTTGATGATTTATTACATATCCTTATTTCACAAACAAAAGTAGATTATTTTTTTTTAAGTTTTGAAATACTGAAGGGAGTAAAAGGAAAATTCTGAGTAGATTTGCTTTCAGTCACTATCACATTACTGATCATTGCATCCTCGGTTTCCCCAGTGATCTCATTCCGTCCTACTCCACAATACCCTGCCTGGGTTAATCCATAGTGTTTTCACAATTTCAAATTATCTGCTCTGGCCTTGATCGTAGTTGGAGTCTGCGAACCAATCAAAACACAGTTTACAAACTAGTTGACTCTTTAGCCTTTTTGTTTACGTTCACAACAATATGTTGATGAGAATTACTTCCCTTTGCCAACTTCATTTGCAATAAACGATTTATGGGATTGGTTGATAAAAATAGCACAATCATCAAGGGCAGATGACTTGAATACGTGTCTTCCCCCCCCCCCCCATGGATTAACCCAGAGGTTAGTCAGTAGTGGAGTAGAACGGAATACTGAAAATGCGATCATTGCTGATGTCATAAATATAATTCCACATTATTCAATTATAAGGCACGTCTAAAATAGATCTTTTGAAAATTTGAGACAAATCTGCCAATAATCCAGGTATTCACTTCAGGAATTTGAAATTCAAAATGTGTCACTGTTATGTAGGTCAGTGTTTTTTGAGTAAATTACATCTGCTGATTTTGTAGGTTCTGAAATTAATTCCTCACTGAAAATTTGTTTGGGAATAAGGCTATGATGGACATAATCACCAATCACCAATGAGTTATGAGTACATGTTATAATGATATTAGTACTAGTAGTAAGAAACAAGAAAAATGGTTAACATTTAACAATAGAAGATCAGAGAAATGATGCAATTTTTGTTAATTAATGAATTAAATAATTAGGTTCATGAAAGCAGGGAGGAAAAAAAAAAGAGTTGGAAATGGCAGAGATCAATAACCCAAGGGAAATCTAAGGGAATTAAAATTTAAGATAGAAATTTCATCCACATACTAATGATTCTCATTAACTTCAAATTTTACCATAATTTTCCCAGATGAGCAGTGTTCGACACAGCATAAGTGCAGAGGACAAGGTTGTCAAACCAACTAACAATCAACCTTGATTTTTTAAGTCGAGTAACAACCCATAAAGCAATTATACGAAATAATTCGAGCTCTTCCTAGTGCTCACATTTATAATACATAACAAGTGCCGGTAGTCACATAACTTTAGTTTCTCCCGTTATTGGAAATGGCCACTTTTTTTTTTTTTAAAAATGTGGTCAAGGATAATAATTCCAAAAGCAATTATTGGCTTCTTTATCTCATGAACATAAACAGTATGTATAAATTTCAAATCAATCAGATGATAACATTTTCAAATTAGTCATGGGCCACAATTGTGGAAATCATTAAAAATCAATAGGGCATATTGAAACTGTCAAGATATGATATTAATAATACAAATTGATCTAATATCTGGGTAAAAATTGGCAGAAGTTGGAAGAAAGAACACATTTCACTCAAACTGATGTATCTGTGCATACACAAAATACAGTTTCAGATTTATAAGTCACAAGATGAAATATATGGAAGGGGATCGACGCCACATTAAAAGACATGTAAACACGAGTAGAAGTTACTATGTCAGCATATGAAAGTGTTGTTTTGATGATTTTTCCATGTTCGATTTTACAAAATAGAAAAGTATTGTCCACTAACGAAAAAACACATGTACAAATGCCCCTTGTAACGTTTGTATTTTCTACATCTGATCTTTCAACTGTTGTAATTTCTACTAGTGCATAATCGACATATGTAACTTCGACATCGGTATTTTCTTCCAATGTAATTTCTCCACATGTCACATCCATCAAGGCGTGGTTCCGATTTTAGCCGAAGCTTGCGTCATAAAAACAAAACCTCCCTTCAAGTAGTCTCGGTCATCCAGACAATATGGCTCCTCCGCGATAGCTCCCTCGACTAACGGGCTTGGATGACCGAGGCTACCCTTCGAGGAAAGTCTCCTCGTGTATTACTACCAGAAAGTTGCATGGGGAGCATCAATAATTTTTAACGGAAGTTAACACTAACATATTGTTTTATGCTAAATTTTAATACAACTTTTAATAGTTTGCTTTCTTTGTTATTTTTATGTGTCTTGAATTCACCATTTCTGGTGTTCATGTCGTTAACATAATTTTGAATGCATAGTTATAGTTTCGAATAAAGAACCGCCCCTGTCGGCCCTGTCGTCTGCTCCACATTGGTGACATCGTTCAATCGTAGCCATGGACAATAATAATCAGGTATATTTATGTTTGAATATCTTCCACAAAAAACTTGTTCTTAGAGCACATAAGCGTACAAATATACTACATAAGTGACACAGGTCTTTCTTCTTTTTTTGGTTGTCAGATGGTAGCACTATCTACACTACAGTTCTACACTCGTTCAGTCGTTGAGTCGTTATGTAAAAGTTTCACGCGTAGACGCCGTAGATACCGCATGGTCAATGAAATGGGGTTTAACGTCCTATTTTGATGTATTTTTTGTATTGGCTAATGAAGACTGGCATATACCATGCAGGGCGCATGCTAAAAATCCCAGACAGTTGGAAATTGTTAGAGATACTGATAGTACTAGTAGGCCTAGTGATTCATTTCATAGACATAGTCTAGCTAGGGCTAGGCGAGTTATTGATGAATGTCCTGACAAATTTTCCCTCATTGCACCCAGCATGGTATATGCAAGTCTTCATTAGCCAATACAAAAAATACATCAAAATAGGACGTTAAACCCCATTTCATTGACCATGCGGTATCTACGGCGTCTACGCGTGAAACTATAATAACGACTCAACGACTGAACGAGTGTAGAACTGTAGTGTAGATAGTGCTACCATCTGACAACCAAAAAAAGAAGAAAGACCTGTGTCACTTATGTAGTATATTTGTACGCTTATGTGCTCTAAGAACAAGTTTTTTGTGGAAGATATTCAAACATAAATATACCTGATTATTATTGTCCATGGCTACGATTGAACGATGTCACCAATGTGGAGCAGACGACAGGGCCGACAGGGGCGGTTCTTTATTCGAAACTATAACTATGCATTCAAAATTATGTTAACGACATGAACACCAGAAATGGTGAATTCAAGACACATAAAAATAACAAAGAAAGCAAACTATTAAAAGTTGTATTAAAATTTAGCATAAAACAATATGTTAGTGTTAACTTCCGTTAAAAATTATTGATGCTCCCCATGCAACTTTCTGGTAGTAATACACGAGGAGACTTTCCTCGAAGGGTAGCCTCGGTCATCCAAGCCCGTTAGTCGAGGGAGCTATCGCGGAGGAGCCATATTGTCTGGATGACCGAGACTACTTGAAGGGAGGTTTTGTTTTTATGACGCAAGCTTCGACTAAAATCGGAACCACGCCTTGATGGATGTGACATGTGGAGAAATTACATTGGAAGAAAATACCGATGTCGAAGTTACATATGTCGATTATGCACTAGCAGAAATTACAACAGTTGAAAGATCAGATGTAGAAAATACAAACGTTACAAGGCGCATTTGTACATGTGTTTTTTCGTTAGTGGACAATACTTTTCTATTTTGTAAAATCGAACATGGAAAAATCATCAAAACAACACTTTCATATGCTGACATAGTAACTTCTACTCGTGTTTACATGTCTTTTAATGTGGCGTCGATCCCCTTCCATAGAAATATGGACATATACCCATTTAAAACGGAATGACCATTGAAAATCTATTTAAGGCCAACAATGAATCTGATGTTCCTCGCCTAAATACCCAAATTAATGGATGACACATTAATTGCGTATTTATCTTTTGTAACGCATCAAGGAATCAGGCTACTTCTCTAAGCTTAGCCCAAAAGAAAAGGCTCATGACCATACATACCTTAGTCATGATTACGATGTCATGAAACTATAAACCAAGTTGCAGAAAGTGTTCACCATCGAGCTTAGTCAAAGTATTGATGTTATGAAACTATGCACAAAGTTTCGCCACTCGCACAGAATTAAAATCACGCACAGAATTAAAATCAGAGTTATTGTGGTCCACAGTCTCAACAAATTAAATTGTTTATTATCACCATCCCTAACCTGACCAGGAAATGCGTATTATCGTACTTAGTCATTTTTATTCTCATAATTTTGCTTTGAAAAAAGGGAAACCTATTTGAATAGTCCCCTGTCTTGATTGCATAAATAAAGAAGAAAACCAATGATAATCCTTAGATTATTAGTTATGGTATTAGAATGTTGAACGCAACTATTTTTCTATGACTACCTAATTCATTTAATTTGTAGTAGGTGCATTAGCGTGACAATACATGTATGTGTTCTACTTTATACATCATAACATAAATTCGATGTTTGAGGACTTTTTTCATTTTGTAAGGGACTTTGCACTGACCAGTCACTGTGGTTACTTCCAGACTAAGATTTTTGAAAATTAGTGTCGAACACCGCTAATGAGACCATTAAAATATATGTCCTCAAAAAAAAAAAGAAGCAATGTTTCATGTACAATAAGCAGAGTTATTGGGGTAGAATTTTAAGTAACAACATAAGCATCTCAATAAAGTTCACTTCATAATTACTATTAGTACAATATATTATTAGAAGACATAGAAGTTCGTACCTGTACTGAACCCCCATGCCTATTTGAGGCTAGGTTAGCACCCAGAAAATTATCAGAGAGACGCGGTTGTTCTCCCCACGCATGCCCCCGTGTATTGCCACTCGACTGAAAGGCAAATTAGTGATGTTAGATAGACACAGCAGAGTGGTAATTTTCTTACATTTCAATTTAACAATCATATACATATATATTTAAAGTACTTGATTTTGACAATTTCACTAGAATTACACATTATCAATTAATTCATTTTTCTTACTAATCTCATTAAGTGTAGCAAAACACACAAAGCTGTCAGCACTTGAAAATGACAGTCTTAAGCACTATTTTACAAGAAGCTCACACAAGCAATGTAGTCTTGGCATCTAACATAAAATTCCATATACTAATGTTAATCTACACATTCAGTGCACATTCAAAAATCATGTCTCTATGCTACTAAAAAAATGAAACAGAAGTGGAATAAAATAAATAATAATAATCGATTTTTCATTCAGAGGTATAACAAAAAAATTCAGATGCAGAAGAAGCTACCTTATCGAAAGCATGAACCATACAAAAACAGGCATACAAGAAAGATAGTTTAACCTACAATAACCTCTCCCCTATTAACCCTTTAACATTATGAACAAAGTCATTGATCATAAATTTAATTTAATAACTTTAAATTTGATTTTGTTTATATTGTAAAATTAAGTTTAAAGAATGGGAAATGACATGTTTTAATTTATTATCTATTTGAATTTCCCTAAACTCTTTTATAGAAAAAGGTTTGGGGGGCGGGGGTAAAGGCTGGGTTTGAATAAATAAATACTGATGTAGAAAGAATGAATGGAATATTGTTAAGATGAGGAAAAAACAGTAGAAAGGCCATAAATATACAATGGTGATAATATGATTGTAGTTAATCAATTACACTACAGTATGTGATTCTGTATTTTATAGCTATGATGAGTATCATGCATAAAACAGTGTATGTTTAAGTGTTTTAAAGATAAATGACAAGCAAACTAAACATGGCATGGACATAACAATACATTTAAGAGAAACAAAATAAAAACATAACATAAAACAGCAAACCAATCAAATTTATCAGATATGATTATGAAGATAGTCAAACTGATATAAGAATTAGATTAATGTTTAATGAAATAATTATTTGCTGTGAAACTATGAAAACATATTCTTATTCTAGAGCAAGTGTGGAATTACCTACCCGGTTCATGCCTGTATCATGTCTTATTCGAGTATGATCTCTCTGTGGTGAGGGTCCAGTCGTATCAGCACTGATTGAAACGGGCGTAGCCTTACAAGTAAAAAAATAATAGACAAAACAAGCCAACAGTGAGGCTGATGTCCCCCACCTCAATCCAAAAATTAATAGATGACATTTATTAATCGATTGCACATTCATCTTTTTATAAAGCATGGGGCAATCAAATTACTTATCTTTACTTAGCTATAGCAGAAAATGCTCATGGATCAAAATTTGTCAAGGCATTGGTATTGATGTAGTGAAACTATACACCAAGTTTTATCAGTCAGTTCTCACCAAAGGAGAATCAAAGTCATCATGTTCCTAAGTCTAAACAAATCAAATTGCTTATCTCTACCAAAACAGGATATGCTCAAATCAAAATTAGTCACAGACTCACATATTGAGGTACACCAATTTTTGCCCTTGTCACCAAAGAATAATCAAAGTTATCATGTTCCTAAGTCTCAACCATTCAAATTTCTTATTTCTGCCTTGCATAAAATCCTAAACATGAAACCCAGTCAAGACATTCACTAAATGAACAAATGTGAACATTCTAGCTTAATTAGAAGCAGAGTTATTATGTTCAAAAAGTCTTGACCAATCAAAGTGTTTATCGCTACTTAGACCAAGCAGAAATTGCTCATCATCGAACTTAGTCAATGTAATGAAACTATACACAAGTGTCACCAATAACTAGTCTGAGTCACTTATTCTCGGCAAATCAAATGCTTATCCCTCTTCATTCTGAGTTTGAGCAATGAAAGTTTATGAAACTATACCACAAGTTTCACCATTCTCACTTAATTACATTCAAAGTCACTGTGTCTCGAAGTATCAACCAATCATCCAACTGGGTCTTAAGATATTCACATGATAATAAACATCTACACCAAGTCTGGACATTCTACCTCCATTAGAAGAGTTATTCTACCACAATTAGAAGAGGTATTGTTCCAAAAAGTTTGACGGACAGACAAACCCATTTTAGTAGTCCCCCAATTTCTTCAAAGGCACGGTAAAAAAAAAATGGTGATAAGGTAAGTAAGTTTTTCCAAAATTGTATTATACTTCACGAAGAGAATATTCCTCTTTATATAAATAATCATGAATCATAAATTATCTCCCTTTGTGTACTGATCAGTCATTATGACTATCTTCTACAAATAAATCTTAAACAAATTTTTTCTAAATCTAAAACTGTAACAATGTACATGTATCATGATCATGATGAAAAACATAGTCAGGATGATGGGGGCTACCACATACACTTAACTTCAAAAATTAAGATTAAGGACTATAGTATTAGCTGATATGTCTTCCAAAAGAAGAAATTAAAAAAGTTTGGAATTCAGGACTAAGGCTAAATTCTAAGGCAGTGATAACAGTAAAATACTAAAGCACAGTGACAACATAAATTGAAAAATAATAATCTTTGGCCATAATCTTAATATCAGACTACTTGCTACGTGTTGCTTTTTTTTTTTTTTTTTTGGCTTTTTTAAAACAATAATATGATCAATATAAACATTTTTTAGAATAGGACTCTAGACCAGTTTTCATTATAAATGGAAGAATTTATTTGATCTATGGTGCTGTGGAAATTTGACTTCTGCTGTTTCACTTGATACTCAATATAAACATAACCCACCACTTGTCTTCCCACCCAATCAAATAGCCAATCACAGTCATAATTCATCTTCTCCATTAAATCGGTGAAAAGTTTGCGCAGATAGTCATAATCAGGCGTCTCAAAAAAGTCCAGACGCCGTACATATCTCAAATATGTTGCTAATTCTTCTGCAAAGGAACAAAGAGAAAGATAGGATGCCAAGCAACGAAACATACGCCCACAGCAGCTAAATCAGTCGACAAGGGTTGTCGAATATTTATTCTTTTGTAGGTAATGGGAGCTTTTAAAAGACAAGACAAAGTGAAACAAGGGCCACACCTCTAGAAGTTAGCAACAGAAATTGCTGAAATTCAATAGGATTTTGCGTTTTACTTTGTTAATAGTGCATATATATAAATTTAATGCAGATTGCATGGTAACTTTTGTTGTTCACAAGGGGGTTCAACACAGTGAAGCAAGGGCTACACCTCTAGAAGTAGCAATAGGCTTTTTCGTTTTACTCATGTTAATAATGCATATAAATTTAATACAGATCGGACGATAACTTTGGTTGTTAACAAGTGGGTTAAACAAAGTGAAACAAGGACTATAACTCTAGAAGTAATCAATGGAAATTGCTGAAATTCAATAGGCTGTGTGTTACTAATCTAAACAATGCACATTAATTTCATACAGATCACATGATAGCTTTTGTTGAAAGAGCATTCACAAGGTTCTACAAAGTGAAACAAGGGTCATAACTGTAGATGTAATTAACAAAAATTCTTGTAATTTACTAGGCTTCTTCGTTTTACTGATCTAAATACATTCCATACAGATCAGCTGATAACTTAAGTTGATAAGAGTTTTCACAAGGTTCAACAAAATGAAACATGGGGAATAACTATAGAAGTTATATATGGAAATTGTTGAAATTCAATAAGTCTTCGTTTTCCTATCTAAATAATGCAGATAAATTTCATACATATTGGATGATAAATTATTCGATAGCGCGTTTGCAATCGACTTCTTCATTTTACTAAGTTAATCATACATTACGCAAGAGCTAAATCTGCACGTCTTTCTTTAGGCCTGAAATGTTATATAAACTATTAAATAGAAATTTGTAACATGAAAAGACCATAATCAACTCTCAATGCCATCTTCTGTGTTCAATTTTCCCTGGATTTGAATCCGGTCTGCTGCTCAACGCTCATTGATGATTAAATGCAAAAATGGATAATTGAGACTATGTTTTTTTTTATCATACCAACTTTAGTAATGATGATCGATGCTAGGCCTAAAATTCAATCGCTAATATCTTGGTTCAGAATGGAGCAATTTGACGGAAATGTTCGGCATATTCCCTTAACATTATCGAGTTTTTAACTATTATAGTGAGACCTGCCAGGTCTTTATCTAATCTTCCATAATGCATGTAAAACCAATACAGATGGGATGATAACTTAAGTCGTTAGGGCGTTCATAACGTTCTACAAAGTGAAACAAGGATAATAACTATAGAAATAAAGGGAAATTGTTGAAATCAAATAGGCTAATAAATGTAGTCTGTAGAGTGTTCAAAAGAAATTGTGGACGATTGAAGTACAGATGGGGGATGACAGCAATATACGACCACATTTCCATGTGGGCATATAAAAAGTAACTCTTGATAAAATCAATCATGCAAATAATCAATAACATAAAAATGATGGTCTTTGTGCAAAAATATGTTGTATGACTGTAGCCAATATTAGTATTTTACAAATTCTTAATGGTGTCTTAGATATCTACTATCATCACAAACCACATATCTCAATGATCATATATTATGTGAAAGATGATGAAATATGTGGCCAATCAGATGCCCAACTAAATTTGAAGGAAATCTATTGTTAGGTAACGTCTACAGGCATAACGTACTACATTTTTTGACCAGTGTTATCTGGAATATATCTGTAAGTACAGGCTGCAGCCATACTAGATTTTTGAATTCTGTTAATAATCGTCGAATGTGATTGAAACTTACTATATGTTTAAAGAGATATTTAATATATTTCATCTCCCATAGAATTGTTCATTCTGTGCTGTTTAATTCTGAATAAAATCAAATCTTTTAAAATGATTTCACCAACACTCAAATTTTTACCTGGAAAGTTTTCACTTAAAACTTCAATTGGAGTTGCCCGTTTTGTATCACCTATCTTTTGATATCTTTCTTTAAGTGTGTCGGCTTTTAGACCTTGCCATGGTAAACTTCCACGTAAAAAATACATAAACATGTGGCCTAATGCTTCTAAATCATCCCTTCGACTTTGTTCTGAAAAAAAAAAATCATTATGAAAAAGGATAACAAAAGATATACCGAAATTCATTTCTCAACAGGGGGAAAACAAGCTAACAGAGTGAGGCTGGTGTCTCCTGTCTCAATCCCAAAATAATTAGAAGACATTCATTCACTATTTAAACATTTATCTTTTTATAAAGCATCTAGCAATCAAATTATTTATCACTTTGCTTAAACTGGGCAGAAAATGCTCATTATCGAACATAGTCAGGGTACTGATGTACTGTAATGTTACTACACATCAAGTTTCGTTATTCTACCTCAATTAGAAGTTGGGTTCTTGTGTTCCAAAGAATCAACATATCAAATTACTTAGCCCTAGTGAGAAATATACATCTCATCCCTATTAAACTCGCCTAATGAACAATACCAAGTTTGATCATTCTACCTCAGAACTTAGAAGCAGAGTTATTGTAATCCAAAGTATCAACCAATTAAATTGTTTATCTCTACTTAGCTTTAGCAAAAAATGTTTATTGAAAGTTAATGACTGTAGCAGCGTAGCTGAGAGTTCTTGTGTTCTAAAATCTCAACTAGTGAAATTGCTCATCTCTATTTCGCCCAAGCAGAAAATGATCATGTAACTCAGTCAAGATACTTACCTACAAATGTAACACTTACGCCAAGTTTGAATATTTTACATTAATCAGAAGCAAAACTATTGTGTTTAAAAATTATTGTGCAGAAAATGTTCATTATCAAACTCGAAAATGTTCATTATCAAACTCGAAAATGTTCATTATCAAACTCGAAAATGTTCATTATCAAACTCGAAAATGTTCATTATCAAACTCGAAAATGTTCATTATCAAACTCAGTCCAGAGTCCAGACACTCAATCACCCAATGAAAAATTTCAAAGTTTTAACATTCTACCTAAATTAGAAGCAACGCTATTGTTTCCCAAAGTATCGACAACTTAAATGGCTCATTTATACAGAAAACGCTGATTATTGTTTGCCAAAAAGAGGGACAGGTGAACCTATTTTAATAGTCCCTTAAGTTTCTTTGACAGGCGGAGGTCAAAAGGGGTGATTTTTGCAACTGCATGTATATATATTTGTCATTCCACCCTAATATTTGTTTGATTAGCTCCTTGTAATACTGATCATGTATAATATGGCATGTTTTTGGGGTGTTTTTTTAATGTGTACCAGTGGGTATTTAACAAGTTTCATGTTTTTTCTTATCTTCAAAATCAGCAAATACTGAACATGACACTAGGTTTATTGATGTATTTTTTTATTTAAAAAATTTCAAATATTTTAATGAATTACATCATTTAAGACAGACATTTTTCCCATCATTTTTCCAAAGATTTTAGAATACTTTGAAATAACATTTGTTTTAAATTTTTTAATTAGTTTTGCATGATTATAACAGATATAAATGTCTTCTTTAAAACAGACTTACAAATATACAGATAAGAAAAATAAAAGATCCGAAAATTGATTTGTTCAAACCTCAATGAAAATTTGACTGGTCTGTCCCATCCACTACATGAAATGGTCTTACTTTTATTTTGTTAACTTTATATTTCTATGTCACATGGAAATACATTTGTCCCTATGTGGAATGGCTGTTGCTATTTAAAAAATGGTTTGGAAAATCAAATTTCCAAGCTTATATTTTGCTAACATTTCGTCCAATATATGCCCAGTTTTAGTGAAACATTAGTGTTATTTTAGTATTTCTTTTCGGCTTCATAATATGTGATAGAATTTGAATAACCACTGCAGACGAAACTTGTGTGTAGTCTCGATCTTCCACACAGGATACGGATAATGTGACACGGGTAGGCGACTGGTTATGTCATTTTTACAGTTGTCTGCCTGAAAATGTAACGTTAGCACTCTTGATACGTTAGCACAACTAATCTGGCTTTCATGGCGTTATTTACTCATAATATATCACTTTCTTTTTGGCATGTAGAAAAGAAAGTCAGCTTTCCGATTTAAGATGCATAAACATGTCGGTTGGCATTCTCGCCTCATTCACTCGATCGAAATGACTTTGATCCCCGCAAAAAGTGCTAACGTGTCAATTATCAGCCTGTCCTTACATAACATTAGCACATGCTTTTAAAATTTAAAATACTGTTTGTCCAATTTTGAAGTTAAAACTTGCTCCAGAGTAGACATACATCATATTATTAATACTTTTCATTGCTGACTATTTCAATTTTTAGTTAAAAACAATAATTCAAGTAAATATAGTTATTTTAAAATGTCCATGTCTGTCCTTATGTAATGTTAGCAACATTTGCATCCCCAATAAATGTTAGGTTATTATTATGATAATATATTAATCTTAAATTATTAATATTATTCTTCATGTTTCAAACAAAAAGTCTCAGTAACTAATTACATTAACACTATGAAGAAATTTTCTTCAAACATTAGTGCTAATGTTAGGCATTTGCCAGAATGTTTGTCCACATGTAACATTATATATCAATCTTAAATTCTTAATATTATGCTTTATTTTTCATATAAAAGTCTCAGTAACTACTTACGTTAACACTATAAGGAAATTTTCCTCAAATGTTAGTGCTAATGTTACACATTTGCCAGAATGTCTGTCCACATGTAACATTAGCAATACATTGAATTTTTAAATTAATAATAAATATCACATCCTACTTATTTCTAAAATATCACATCCCATGAAACTGAAATTTCAGTTTTGAATAATGTTTTATTACATTAAAATTTTGAAGAAAACTATTAATATATATAAGCAATGGTTAATATCTGAAAAAAAAATAACTTTGCCATGTGTCTGTCCAATTCAAGAGACATTTTATATTTCTTAAAATGGTAATTTTTACGGTCTTATGACCCAAAAATAAAAGCATCTTCTTTTATTTAACATAATTCAATGTATATTCTACCTATAGAGATTGTTATTTATATGAATTTTAATGTGGACCGTTTGCATTTGATATTTCATCTGAGTGATACTATTTAAATAATTATTTTGCGAAAAATTACCTTTTTAAAATATATTTTGGAAGAATATGTATCCATCTTCCCTGAGACGGTGATTTTGTAAGACGAATAGGAATTTCATAATTTATTTGGGATCGGGAACCTAAGCTACACTTTATAATGAAACATGCAATATATTATCATGTCCACTGTTTACATGAAACATGTAAGCAATTGCAATAAATTGGTTATTCTGAATATTGCTTTAGGCCTACATCATATAGATTTAGATTTTAATTGGTAGACTGCATCAAAATAAAATCCTATGTTGAAATGTTTGTCATGAACAAGGAAAACAAATAGATGTATAGAATTTAGAGTGTTGTTAGATAAAACCACTTAATCGACATATCAGTGTAGTATATCAGGATATAACTATACTATACAGTGATAGATAACAGAATAATGTCAAACTGTAGATAAAATTGTCAGGCGAGGGCTTAAATTTTTAATAATATATTATTGATAAAACATTGAACCAAACTGGAATCATGTCAAGAATACCACACAATTACCTTTTCCTAAATGTGTGTTTATACTCATATATCTGGCAGTGCCCGTCAAACTTTTATGTTCCCGATATGGTATGTGTTTATTGGTTTCAGGATCAATATATTCTTTGGCCAAACCAAAATCTATGATATGAGTGATATGCTGTTTTTTAGTCGATTGCCTTCCTATAAGAAAGTTTTCAGGTTTAACATCACGGTAAATGAGGTGTTTCGAATGTACATACTCCATTCTGGAAATCTATAAAATAGAAAACATTAAAACCATTAATTCCATGAGACAAATCAAAGCATTACTACCATTACCATCTGCTGATCAACAGCATCAGCTTTTTTAAATCAACATCAAGATTTCAAATCATTAATTCAGATTTTGCTATAAATCAACAACATAGTGGTAGTAATTATCTTTATATTTCAAAAGTCAAAGATATGTACTATTTTAATCTGAAGATTTCAGTCAAGTACATTTTAGTAGAACAAAATCTCCATTGGATAAATAAGTGTGTCTTGTTTTTAAAATGATAGTATACATTGAATTTCTGAAGGGTAATGATATACAATTGGGTTTAACAGCACATTTCTGCACCGATCAGGTTAATGAAGTCCATGTGTGTGCATGTGTTCTACGAGCTACATGTATGAGGAAAGGTATGCTATGAAGGAAGTTTTGCCCCGACAGCCGCATTTCTACCTACTGACAAGGGAATGCACCACTGACAAGGGAATACCAAGCTGAAAAAAAAAATGGTGAAACTTCCTCAGCAAAATCCAGGCTCTCTTGGTCAGTTGGCCAACCTGGCTCCATTACTGGAAGAATGCAAATCCTAATTATTATGAAATTGTGAGTAACATGTATGTACACTAGGGCCCAAACGATTCACCGGTGAATCATGATTTTTTCCATAAAAAAAAGATGAACGATACTCTTTATAAGACAACTGATAACCGCGATTTCTTTTTCAATTTGAGGTACACAGTTTATTTCACACTGTATTGTGATATTTATTCAATAAAAATTAAAGTTCAATTAATTAGACAGTAGGACATTATAAGTCAGTTCAGTGTAAAGAAAAAATCCCGGTCACTATGTCCAGCCACCCAGACATTATATCATTGCAAAAACTGACCTACAGGGTATGAATCTGTGCAAAATACGACCCAGAAACTTGATAAGACAATATATTCCATTGGAAATGAAGTGAAATGAGGTTTAACATCCTACTTTTCTGCTCCTACTGGGCTAATGAAGACAGGCATATGCCATACAGTGTGCTATGAGAGAAATTTTGCCTGGGCAGTGGCACTACGGCCTACTCTTATATCAAATTCCATATGTACACGGGTCCTCGGTCTTCATCCCATCCGAATGACTACACAGCTTTCCTTGTCCTGCCCTCCGTTCTGCACCACTGAAAAGGGGAAACCACGCTGGGAAATCCTGATGAAAATTCTCTGCCAATGCAGGGATCGAACATGTGACCTCCAGGCTAGCGGACCAGCGTCTTACCGACTTAATCACCGTGGCTCCCATTTTCCATTAGACAAAATAGCGGAAGTCATCAATTTTACACCAATCAAATCGCATTTCACACTCATTTAGTCTTCATAAGTGTGGTACCGTACCATATCGTTTTTTCTGTTACCTTAGTAAACGGCAACAGGAAAAGTCAATAAAGAAATTTCAGTCTGCAAAATATGTCATACCCAATTACGGTATACAGGATTGTATTCATGTATGTGTACCTGACTGCTGTTTGACTTGACTTGATTGTCTGTGCGATTGCATACTTAATTTTGTTTCAGAGATTGTGTATTTTGATTCAGTTTGAGTAAAAAAAAGTGCCAAAATATTGGTTAAATATTAATTTCAATTTTGTCTATTGATAAACAATAAAACTTTAATGAAACAAGCAATATTTGGTCAATTTCACAGTAAAAGCGTGTATTGTGATGTATCTGTACCGTTGGTCTAGGACACGATACTGTATCATATCATGGCACAGTGTATTGTTTCAGCCCTAATGTACACTCTAGTTTGATTATCATATAAACCATAATCTGAAAATCTAATGGTACAGTTAAATCTGAACTATTTGCTTTAAACTTAAAAAAAAACAAGCCAACCGTGAGGCTGATGTCGCCCGCAAAAACCCCGAAATAAATAGATGACACATATTAATTAATTGCACGTTTATCTTTTTCAAAAGTATTGAACAATCGAACTGATTATCAACTATACACTAAGTTTCATCACTCTCTATCAGATAGAATCAAAGTCAAAGAAATTATTAGCTTTAGCGGGAAATGTTAATCATTGAACTCAGTCAAGACATTCACCTAATGAACATCATATCAAGTTTAAAAGTTTGGAAATTCTACCTCAATTAAAAGCAGAGTTGTTATGTTCCAAAGTCTTAACCAATCAAATTGCTAATCGCTCCTTAGTATAAGCAGAAAATTCTCATCAAATATAAATGATACATGTTTAATGAAGCAATACTCAGAGTTTCATAGCTCTCACTTAATTATAACAAACTTTGCGTGCCCATAAGCATCAACCAATCAAATTGCTTATCTCTGCTTACCGTAAGCAGACAATGTTCATCATCGAACTCCATCAAGGCATTCACCTAATGAACGTCTACACCAAGTTTGAACGTCCTACCTCAATTAGAAGAAGAGTTATTGTGTTTCAAAGTCTGGACCTATCAAATGGCTTATCGCTCCGCTTACCCGCAGCAAAAAATGTTCATTACCGAACTTAGTCAAGATATTGATGTGATGAAACTATACACCAAGGTTCATCACTCTCACTTAATTAGAACTAAAGTTATCGTGCCCTAAAGCATCAACCAATCAAATTGCTTATCCCTGCTTACCCGTAGCAGGAAATTCTCATCTTCGAACTCCATCAAGGCATTCACCTAATGAACACCTACATCAAGTGTGAATATTGTTGCTCAATTGGTAGTAGAGTTATTGTGTTCCAAAGTCTTGACCAATAAATTGCTTAAATGCTCTGCATAACCCTGAGCAGAAAATGTTCATTATTATCGAACTTGGTCAAGGTATTAATGTAATGAAACTATACACCAAGTTTGATCAATATCACTTAATCAGAAGTAAAATTATTGTGTCCCAAAGCATCAACCAATCAAATTGCTTATCTCTGCTTACCCTAAGCAGAAATGCTCATCTTCAAACTCCATCAAGACATCAAACTAATAAAAACCTACACCAAGTTTGAACATTCTAGCTCAATTAGAAGAAGAGTTGTGTTCCAAAAAGTGTGATGGACAGACGGACGGACAGATGAACCCATTTTAATAGTCCCCTGCTTTTTTCGAAAGGCGGGGGACAAAAAATACTGGATACGATGATTATGAATAAATATATATTTATATTATATAAAGACTATATAAATTTAGAAAAGTCAAAAAGTAGAAATAAGTCAGATCAATATATGGGTGAGAATAAAGAGCAGCTATGATGGATGAGAGAGAACATATCAATACACGTACATAAATCTATGTAAACTTAATTATCTTCTATCTAAAGAGTTGGGATTGCCAGTGATTGCTGGAAATGAGCATCTCTATAACATTATCACACCACACAATAATTTGACATAGTTCTTGTTTGTTTTATCCTCTCATTTTATTTGATTTATCACAAGTACTACATTTTTGTCCATGACTGTGACTTTCAACATAAAATAGAATTTATGAAGGTCAACAAGAATTTGTTTCTCAACTCAACCAATATAAAAAAAGACAATTGCCTCGTATGGAAGCAAGTAAAAACATTTTAAAGAAGCAAGAATGTCTGAACATGTACATGTAGTTAATTTACTTCAAGACTTGAGAACAAAATGTTATTGACATGCGTGAGTATATCTTGTAGTATATTATACAATAATGTTGCCTGTTATGTCCAATAATGTTTGCCATGTGAGGTCTCTAAAAACCATCTGAAAAGACTTCAAATACAAAGATCATAGAAGGATGTAATGTAGTCTTAGACAAAAACAATGATCATACTGTAAAGATGACTTTAAAAAAAAGTTCAATTACTTCCCAGTCACTTGTTAAATAAATACTTTACTTACCAGCTGAATGGCTAGCATGAGGACAGTTTTTAATGAGAATTTTCTGTCACAGAGGTCGAAAAGGTCCTCTAGACTAGGACCCAGCAGTTCAAGGACTAGAGCATTGTATTTTCCACATGGCCCAAAATAATACACCTGCGGCACACCTTCTGTAATATCAAAAACAAACAATGTGTAAGTTTAAGTACAGAACAAATTCATGTGCTTGCTTGATCAAGCTTTTACCATAAATAAACAATAAAGAGAAGAAAAAATAAAACAGGTTTCCATTTGACAGTTCCTATTATGTGTCCTTGGAGGACTAGGCCAGTAATACTACACTTCTGAATATGTTCTAAATAAGTCATTTGTAATTATTGTCAAGTATATGGGGAACAGATTTTTTTTTTTACCAATACTGGTCATAATAATCAGGACAGGGATATGTACAACACAATAATAACATGTCCAGTTCTAATTGTCTACTGAAATGATATGAGAACAAGAACTGATTAATGGAGGTTTTCTGTATTGTGTGTACACAGAAATATACCTTAATTAAGAGCTACATAGAAACACGATCATACAACTATTAAATTGTAAAACTTCTGTTTTAGTGTTAGTTTTATTTGGAAATTTGACTCTACATCTGTGGTTTTGTTTTGACAATATCTGGGTTTGTCGACAATCTTTGTAAATACTGAATGGAAATGAACCATTTTTGGACTGATATTGATATTCCTTTTACATTTTAGAGATTGAACTTTCACAATATTTCTCAACCACTCAATTAATACAATGCAACTAATAACACTAACCAATTAGAAGGTCTTATAGAATTGTGTCTTCTAGAATAGTAAATCTTATCAATACAAAATCTTTTTTTCTAGGGTAAATGTAATGGCTAAATCTAAAGGCACATTTCATAACCAATCAGATCTGTGCGAGTCCTTCAAACATATTTGAATGTAAATTTGTACAATTGCTGTGAACAGCCATGTGGCTTTATTACAGATGTAGAGTAAGTAAATTCTTAAACGTTACGATCTTTCAGATCATATGTAGGACCTTTCCCATGAACAGGTTAAGCACTAGTGCTGGGTATTGCCACTGCAGTTACAATACTATACATATTGCAATTCAGGTACTACGATACGGTATGCATCACAATTCATAACCAGGTCCAATATTTACCAAAAAAATAACAGGATAAATAAATGATACTTTTAGTCCTGCCAATGGCGATGAAATAAAAACAGTTTTATATCACAATTTGATGTGGATCAAAACAAGGACCAAAAACAATCTAAGAATGTTTGTGTATGGATAATGTGTGACGTGGATAGTTAAGAGTGACAGGTTACTTACTGTAGCCACAAAAAAAAACATCAAAAAAAAAAGAATTGTGATACATGTACGTTGATTCAGCATATCTGTGAAGGTGTTAAAATCATTGAACAGATCACTGTGTGAACATTGTGGTTTATTTTATACATATGTGTGTTATTTGTAACACAAAAATTTAATTGTATTTGGGAGATGAGATAACTGTGAAAATGATCTCTCCTTAGACTTAACGATTATGTTCAGAGGCAAACAACAGTATTCATAAACTGCAATGGATAACAACAATCAATACATGCATTTAAATGAGATTTGCTAGACAGTTCTAACCTATAAATACATGTAAACCTGATCTTTTAATTTCATTTATTAATTTATTATGTGTTTACTATTATTATATTCATTGTTCTAATACTGTTCATATTTGGAGAATCAATAAAATAGTGACTTAATCTACACTGACAATAGTGACATTATATCTACACTGTCAATAGTTTAACCTGCTATTCTAGTACTGTATAACATAGGGAAGTGAGTACAGTATGTATATCTATCAGCTCAATTACTAATGCAGAACAGCCCTGTCATTGCTTTTCTTCCTCATTGTGGTACGTAATTGTACTAACTTTTCAATATCTATTTCCCTTTAAATTAGATCAAATTTAACTGTAAGTAACTAAGTTGACTTCCCATGTAGAGCTAAAACAATTCCACCGGTAGCGAAATGTGTTCTTTATTCTAACCTCATGCCAGACCTTACCACAAAAGCAAATAATAATTTGTGAAAGTTACATGTATATAAATTATAATCAATTAGGACTGATCATTAACTCAAAATGCTAACAGTCCTCTTTTACAGGCTGTATTTATATGTGATTTATGTATGTATGAGAACATCTGAAATAGAAGCCTAACCACCTGGTAAGAGGATTATCAGTGTTTTACATGTACATGTAATTATGGTAAATAGATACATCATTGATGTTAATTGTTTTGGCACCTTAAATTACAGCTTTTGAATTAGGGATAGCAAATGCCTCAACATAATTCTGAACCAAGATCTTTGGGTTTTAAACATACATTTCAGGTTTCATCAAAATCGGATCAAAATTGTGTCCACAACCTTGATATACCAGATGTTTACATTAGGCATCAGAATATAGGTTTTTATAACAAGGTTACAGAAAAGACAAGAGAGATTCCAGACTGACTGCCAGTCCAAGACATTGGCAAAGTAGGAGAATTCCTGATCAATCTTCTTATGGTTTAATATTCATCTCACTTATCATGAAAGGTTGATTAATATTTATTGTACATGGAATGTCTCTTTAATGTTACAATAGTTAGTTGCTAGTGTAATATTTTGATCAAGGTGACATCTTTATGTACTATTTGTACATAAATCCTATAAAAAATTCCTATAAAAGAATCTTTTGTTCTACTATGTACTGGTGGAACACTGAGTGAAGTTACTGGTTGTTATATCTTTAAATACTAATCTCTACCTAATAATGTAAACACATGCTGACTTGTGTAATTATACTATTCAAATCAACCATACTTGACAACAGTTAATGGCATGTAAAGGATAATCTAATTATGACACTATGTAAATAGCTTGGACATAATGTATCGATTTATATTCTTGCTCTTTACCTTGTTACTTTTTTTCATATATTAATACTACAAATCACAGTGGCATGAAATTTTAAGTCAAAACTCTTTTACAGCTTGCAACAATAAGATATATAGTCATGTATTTAAACCAGCGGCTGCCAGGCAGGATACGCCCACATTTTCGAGAGATGGATAGAGAACAAGCTAAAAAGAAAGTGATTTAGGAAGTTGTTCCGATATGCGCGAATATCGAAAGGAACCAAGATCTTTGGGTTATAAACTTACATATCTTACCGGGAAAAGGTAGGCTTCTGATATCCAATATTTAAGACACCAGCGGCTGCCAGGCAGTATACGCCCACATTTTCGAGAGATGGATAGAAAACCAGCTAAACGAAAGTGATTTTTCCTACAATCAAGGGCCATAATTCAGGACATTACAATTCGATATGCGCAAATATCGAAAGGCACCAAGATCTTTGGGTTATAAACTTACATTTCAAGTTTCATCAAAATAGGATTAAAATTGTGACCTCTATAGGGTTCCACAACCTTGATATACCATATTTGAGAACGAAGGGCGGCCATTTTGTCTGTCACTTTTAGGCCGATTTTCACGAAATTCGAACTCAGCCCTCCTTAGGGTGTAACGGTGATACAATAATACGTTTTTTTAAATCGGATAAAAATTATGACCTCTATAGGGTCCACAAGCTAAAAATGTGATTTTTCGTACAATCAGAGGCCATAATTCAGGAAGTTACGGTCCGATATGCGCGAATATCGAAAGGAACCACGATCTTTGGATTATAAACTTACATTTCAAGTTTTAACAAAATCAGATAAAAATTGTGACCTCTATAGGGTCCACAACCTTGATATACCATATTTTTACTTTATTCGAGAACGAGGGGCGGCCATTTTGTCTGTCAGTTTTAGGCCGATTTTCACGAAATTCGAACTCAGCCGTCCTTAGGGTGTAAGGGTGATATAATAATATGTTTTTGTCTGTTACGATCCGATATGCACGAATATCGAAAGGAACCGAGATCTTTGGGTTATAAACTTACATTTCAAGTTTCAACAAAAATATTTTTACTTTATTCGAGAACGAGGGGCGGCCATTTCGTCTGTCAGTTTTAGGCCGATTTTCACGAAATTCGAACTGAGCCGTCCTTAGGGTGTAAGGGTGATATAATAATATGTTTTTGTCTGTTACGATCCGATATGCACGAATATCGAAAGGAACCGAGATCTTTGGGTTATAAACTTACATTTCAAGTTTCAACAAAATTGTGACTCCTATAGGGTCCACAACCTTGATATACCATATTCTTACGCTATTTGGGAACGAATGGCGGCCATTTTGTCTGTCAATTTTAGGCCGATTTTCACGAAATTCGAACTCAGTCATCCTTAGGGTGTAACGGTGATATAATAGAACGTTTTTTTAAATCGGATAAAAATTATGACTTCTATAGGGTCCACAAGCTAACAAGCGGTTGCCATGCAAGATACGCCCACATTTTGCAAGAGATGGACAGAGAACAAGCTCAAAAAAAGAAGTGATTTTTTCGTAGAATCAAGGGCCATAATTCAGGAAATTATGATCCAATATGTGCGAATATCAAAAGGAACCAAGATCTTTGGGTTATAAATATGTATTTCAAGTTTCATCAAAATCGGATCAAAATTGTGACCTCTATAGGGTCCACAACCTTGATATACCATATTTTTACGCTATTTGAGAACGAACGGCGGCCATTTTGTCTGTCAATTTTGGGCCAATTTTCACAAAATTCGAACTCCGTCGTCCTTCGGGTGTAACGGTGATATAATAATACGGTTTTTTAAATCGGATAAAAATTATGACTTCTATAGGGTCCACAAGCTAAAAACGCGATTTTTCGTACAAACAGGGGCCATAATTCAGGAAGTTACAGTCCGATATGCGCGAATATCGAAAGGAACTGAGATCTTTGGGTTATAAACTTACATTTCAAGTTTCAACAAAATCGGATAAAAATTGTGACCTCTATAGGGTCCACAAGCTAAAAACGTGATTTTTCGTACAAACAGGGGCCATAATCCATGAAGTTTCGATCCGATACATGCCAATATCGAAAGCAGCCGAGATTTTTTTTGGGATAAAGCTATATTTCAAGTTTCGTCAAAATCGACCTGTGACCTGTAGAGAGTCCACAAACAA